ATACATCTTAGATAAAATGTTAAAATCTAGATACACTAATTAATCTCTGATTGGTACATTAGGCAAATACTTCTGGTACCTATTACATTTTATTTAAAGTGATCATTGCCCTTATTTCTATGCTACTAATTCATTTTATGTAGATACCTAAGGTGAGGTAATGGAGGGGAATGTGAATGAGGTATCATTATGTAGCAATAGATCTTTAAAAACATACAGTGAAACCTGTATATCTGTATCTGAAATCTCCCTTATCTGAACACATTTCAAAGTGAACAGTTTTTCGGTCTCATTTTTTAATCCATAGACAAGCATTGTTAAAAACCTTGAAATACAAACATCTGCTGATCAGAACACTTTTCACCAGTACTCTAGTGGTGTTCAGATTAGACAGGTTTTACTGCATGTAATTTGTTTTTGATTACAGTTCTTCTTCCTGAGAAGAAATTAAGAGGAAGAGGCAGAGTACACTTTGCAAATGCTAAATTCAATCCCCACTCTTAAAATAAAAGACAATTATTTCATCTCTCCAGAAGTAGCATATTCATTTTCACTTTCAAACTTTCATAAAATTAGCATTCCAACAATGTGGGATCCAAAGCCTGTTCTTTCCCTTGGAGTACCCTCTCAAGCAATAGTTAAAGGGGAACTCTGATAAATCAGAAAGGTATTAGCAATGAAGCCACAAGTTTGTAGAAATCAGAGTATAGTGTGACAGCTGATGGTGATAAAGGGTTGTGTGAAATGAAAAAAGATATCAAAATTATTGATAATGATATTTGCCGTTAATGTGTTAATGACAGAATGAAGCATACATATAGATGTTTCAAAACTATAAACAGTTGAAATGCTTTGCTTTGCAGATTGCCTACTTTATATTTTATCTCTTGCATTTACTTGTATTATTTTGAAAGTAAAATACCTCTATGCACCTGCTGCTTTGCTGGTTAATATAACAAGGTGTTCATTTACACATGTGGTGATTCATATTAATGTTACATAATAGCCTATACTTATGTAATATATACATACAATTTTGTTATTTGTGAAAAATTAATATGAACAAGCTGAGCCACCAAGCACATTGTTACATGTTGTTATTTCCATTAGGGTAATGTTATATTTTGGGATATAGCAACATGACATAAATATACACATGTCACATGCTACACAAAAAGGGGATTCTTTTATGCCATACCTCGAATTATCTACAAAATTTGCATACTGACTAAACTTTAAACAAATGGAAAAACTGAAAAACAATAATAATGGAAAGACCTATTAAACTATGACATATAATGTACATTTATTATAATAAAAAGAAAACAGATATAATGGTCAGACGGTTGAAGTAATTTAGCAAGAAAATATTATTACATTTAGCTTTGGCATATGATCTCTTAATTCTCTTAATTCCCGTTCTTATTGTTTCACAGATGTGCATTAAATAATTTCTGGCCATTGGGAGTGATACATAATTATAAGTATTGTCTTACAAAAACAAGTCAATTAGACATTTTACTTGAGCTTGAGTTACATATTAGTGATATTATAATGTTGTCACTAAGACTAGTGTAAATTAATACAAGGCATTAACATGCAAAAAATCATCTGCCATTTGTTAAAAATGCTAACCATCGAATACAGTACAATTTAGTACAGACACCAACCGCCTAACACTAGTCCACAAAAAAGATGGAGACTATAACAATATGTCACCACTTCTGGTGGTGACAAAAAATGGTTGTCATATCCTCCCCATTTAGTTATTTTAAACTAATATTGAAACAAATCTTCAAGTACCACTTCACGAAAACAAACAAGAACAAACAAATAACAGATAATGAACAAAATAAGTCACAATTTGATGATGAAATAAAAAAATTACAAAAAACACATTTATATCAATGCTTCGACAAAACAAAAAATAAATATGCATGGATTTAAGACTCTAGCCTGAATTCCACTTTCTACTCCCTTGTTCTCCTAAATCTGGGTTGGAAGCTCATTTTCTTCAGATTAAGATAGGATTGGCAGTATCAGGTGTCCTCAGCTTGAACCATATTCATGTATTTCATACTACTGTATATTAGCTTAAATACACTGATATCATGCAGGAACTGAACTTGTTTACTTGAGTTATTATAAAGTAAATGTATATCTAGAAAAAGGAAAGTCAATGGAATTTCAAATTCCACTGAACGAATAATGTTCTCAAAGAAAGAATATAAGGCATCAATTATAAACCCTTTGGCAAAACTACACTCAAAACATCACAAAAGCATCATCATGTTATACTTTTTCATGTCTATAAGATGTTAAATACAAAAGAAATGGGTTACCTTGAATTTCAGGTCATTTTGAAAAAGCTGTTCTAATTCATGAAGCATAACCATTTTCAAAACAAATTAAATCAAATTGGTATTCTAATCATAAAACAAAATGAAACATTTTTAAATTCGCAGCTTTTTGATAAATCTGATCCCATAATGCATAAAAAATATGTGAAAAACTTTACAGTCAGAATTTCAGTTGTGGCAATATGGACACACAAAGAGACCAGACAAAAGGACAAACAATCATCTTCTCTTTATTCCTAAAGAAAAATTGAGTAAAATGGCAAACAACTAAATATACTAACAACCAAGTTCTGCATTGTTGACTGAACAAGAATTCAATAATAATCCCTAAATATCTCTCCATACTCAGAAATATTTGAATACCACAAGAAGATATTTGTGTTTGAAGCCAAATACAACAAACAGAAATGCTTGCTTATTTTAGCTGGGTGTTATTGTTACAAATGCTGCACACATATTTATTTTGTTTATCACATTCAATTCTAAACAACAACAATCTGCATATGAGAGCCAATGAACAAGCACATTTCTGCAAATAAGATTACAGTAACTTTTCCAACAAAGGTAAGCCAAAGGTATGAACCATAAACACTAAATTCCTGTAACTTGGATAATAATTTTGTCAAGTGTTATTATATCCGCCAGCTGTTTTTGAAAAAAAAATGCCATCTGATATAAATTATACAATGTACCACTTTAACCTATCAGCATCTCAGTTTATACCATATTCTCATAAATACATAAAAATATATTAACTCGAAAACAAAAAATTTAGAACACTTTGAATTAATATTAGGTACTTGTAAATCATATTGAAAACTTGAGATTGTAATCACCCCCCCCCCCCCCCCCCCCATTTATTTACCCATTCAACCTTGTTTGGCAAATTTCAAATTTCATTCTCTTGAATACCAGAGTTTTTTTTCATTTTTGCTTGCTTTTGCCATGTATTTTTATTTTATACAATGTTTGGAGTTCATTTTTGGTAACATCATTGAACATAGATAAATTGCACACAGTTCAATGCATATTTTGTGTGAGTTAAACAACATTTTTCAAAGGTAGAGCCATTTTAGTGAAAAATTCTTTAACTGATATATCTATCACTCTGGGCATTCAAGGGGTTAATGAATTCATCAGCATTTTACATTGAAGTGATGCAAACTATATTTAGCATGAAAGATACACATAATGAGCTTAGAAGATCTGCCAAATCCCACATATTGCCTGTTAATAATTAATGAAACACATGTGAATATGTGGGTTCCTATAACAAGATCAGTAATATGAGGCTACAAGAAATGAATAGTTTGTAATATGAGGCCATGCTTAAAGGCATTGGCTCTAGGTAATAGCCCCACACATAAAGATGTATAATTGATTCAGAGAATTTTTAGTAATATTAACTAATGTACATGAAAAAGTCACATTACAGCTCATCAAATGAATGAATTGCAGAACAATAGTTATTTCTTATTTTAATTTAAAATACATTCTATATATTTTCATACAGTTTGAAACATAAATAAATGACAGTTGGATTTTCTATCACCATTTCCTAACCATGGTCATCTGAAAGCCCACAGTTTCCAAATTGTCTAGATATATATCCCCTAAAATTAGTTTATTTTACATTTTGTATCATCTCATCCACTGATGTATGGGCTCTTGAAAATTCTTTTATTTTTAACATGGGAAATCATCACTTCAGCAAATCCACCTGTCATTTATTTATGTTCAAAACTGTACATTTTATGACATTAAGATTATGATTCGGTTTTTAACTTTCTACTTACCTCAACTTTAACAATTGAACGTTCCAAAATATTTCATGAATTAAATGTTTTAGTTGATGTACTGCATGTGGTTATTGTGAAGTTTCTCTGTCAAATGATAAGCTCGCACAGCTGATTGCGGTTAAAGGTCATTATGACATCATATGATTAAAAGTCATGTGACTTTGGGGATTCCCCAGAGGTTTCCTGATTTAGTGTTTCCTGATTATTGGAAACTATAGTGACATCTTTACAAAAACTTATCATATCTTTCAATGTTGAGAATGAGAAAAGATATAGGAATTTCTATATATCTATAACTTTTAAATCTCGTTTTGTGGGATTTTAAGAGGTTTTCATATTAAACCTCTAATGACTTACTTTTCCTTAAAGTTTTAAATGGCATATTTGAATATAGTGAAAAGTTTTCCTTAATAAAATAATAACTTTAACTTTAATGTTATTTAAATCATTTTCCATGGCTTTCTAACTTTTCGATAAATCTCGTTTTTTTTCGTGGAATTTTAAGATATTTGTATATAAACCTCTAATGACTTACTTTTCTTTCTTTTTTAAAGCATATTTAAATTCAGTGAAAAGTTTTCCAGCTCAATAATAACTTCGATTTGTACAGTTATTTCTTATCTAAATAAATAGTTTCAGACAGATTCAACTAACACCTTTGAAAATGAGTATTGCACGTTTTTACCATTGAAGCCTATGACAATCTGGCCTAACCAAAACAAATAAAAACAAGTGCTGACATCAATCTATTCTTTCAGCTTTATTCAGCTATGTAACTCCTTTATTAGCTTCATTTTTTATTCATGCTAACTTTTTGAGTAAATGTAAACTTAATCCTTACCTTTATTATAGATTTTTACTCCTGGGCAAGCACAGTATGGGGTTTCAATTTCTACAACAACAAAAAGCATTTTGTATTCATGACAACGAACAATTGATGATGTAATAAAAAATATCAAAGATGTCTTTTTATGATGTCACACACCATCATGATTAATGTTAAAAATAGGTTTTTGTCACATGATGTATCACTACTGCACAACTTTTTTTCATGTCTTACTTTTATCTTACGGAACTTTCATGGAATGACAGACTTTACTTAAGATCAATAGGCCTACTACATTGTCTTCATAATTTATAGAAAGAATTTAGTATAAAAGATAATCAAAAAATGGCTTCTGAAATAAATGGCAATTGTGTTGCTTGTCTGCACATACCTAACTCATTTTAGAAGCTTCGACGGCATCAAGACATGTGAGAAGATCTACATCATTAATATCGTCATCAAACTCAATCTCTGTAATGTCATCAGACTCAGCTTTAGTGCCATTATTAACTTTGGTAGTATCTGTTGATTCAACTGACTGATTCTGATTAACAGAAGAGGCTGTTGGCATGTGGGTGGTTACCAAACATTTTGAATTGTGCTCTGAAACATTGATCTGTGTATTGTTTATGTCACCAATTTTATTAGTAACATCACTAGAAGAGAGGTGTTCAATTTGAGCAACAGCTTCTACAAGATCTGCATCAGAAATTTCCATATCATCCTCGATGTCATCAAAAAAATCACTGTCATTTCCGAGGAAATAATTAGCAGGTAAATATTCTGGAGGAATAGGATAATTCTGTGATTTGAACCCAGAATCTCGACATTCTGGATCATGGCATTTTTGATAAATGACACCTGCCTTGAGATCTGCAACTATAATAATGTTATTGCTTTTGTGTGCTCGATTGATGTTTTCGCAATATCGGTTTTTGATGATGTCGTACACAATTAGCTCCCCAGAAGAAAAATAAGTCCATCTTCTTATCTGCCCTTGGACACCACCTTTATTGATAATAGAACCCACATACGTGTCTATCTCAGGGTAAGGAGATGATTTGTATCCTATTATATTGTTCAAGGTTGAATGGTCACCTATACTAGAGTTGTTGTCTTTGACGACTGTTGCTACAGAAAGTCCAGGACCATTGAATGTTAGTAGTTTCAGATTCGGAGTGTATTTTACATTTGCAATCAATGAGTCAAGAAATATTCTTTTTTCAATGTCTCTCGTGGTTTTTGTTGGCTTAGGAGAGTATTTGTTCCACTTGGAAAGTCTCAAATGATTGTTCTTGCCACGCTTGGAAGAAAGATACAATCTAAAGTTACGATTTTTTGTATAAACACCAGTATCGCAAAACAAATTTGAGTGACCATGTTTGTCATTCACTAAAAGTCCCTCCAGATCACTGATGGATAATTCAGTTTGAAAACTTGTGCCTGCACTTGTATCACATTTGTCCTGAATCTGATTCCTAATGGTATCCAAGAGGGATTGGCAGACATATTTCACAAACTTACCAGCTTCGATGTTATTCTGGAATGCAACATCTTTCAGCACATATATCAAATGTCTGCTAAACTTTGCATCAGTGCTCGCATCCAAATCAATGATGTCTTCTGGATTACAATCAATGTTAAAGACATGCTTAAGTTGTTCAGAAATCAACTTGAGAAAAGTGTCCATCATTTTAACATCGTTTACAGTTGGATTCAGCGCTCTATTAAACTCAAGGTCAAAATAAAGCTTACAAACAGCTTCGTGCGGAATGATCTCATAATAACATCGTTGATTCAACGCTAGCTGTTTGTAGACATGCCAAAATTGATCATAACTTGTCACAAAATAAGTTCTTTTTCCAGTGCTTTCTACGAATGTTTTGCTTTCATTCGCGAATACATGAAGACTTTTTGAATATTGTCTTGCTCTTTTGAATGCCTCTTCTTGACTGTAAAATGATTCCCAAACTGGAGATTCCCCAAACATTCCACACTTATAAGGGGTCGGGACGACATGTTTCTTCAAATTTGTTTCTCGCTCCTCTAATTTTCTTTTAACGGAATTCCGCTGTTCAACTTGTTTCTTGTTTTTAGTGCTGTAGAATGACAGGCCACTGATCAATACTGATGAATTTTCTGCCATCATATGCATCATCTACAAAATAATAATTTATACACTGTATATAAACTTTGCATATACATGTATATATTACTAAAGGCACTAGACCTTACAACATTTGCTTATAGACGACTACATGGAGAAATGATAGAGACTTTCAAATACATTAACTCCTACTAGGATGTCAACACAACAGCAACATTACCCAATTTCCGAGCAAGAGATACACATAATAGAAGAAGAAATTCCAAACTACTCTGGAACACTGCAAAACCTCAATGAGACAAAATACAATCAGCCGAAGGGTAACAAACAATTGGAATTGTCTCCCAGAGTACGTGGTGCAGTCAGTCCATGTTAACCATGTTATCCTTTAAAATTCAACTACGAAATTGCTGGTGTACAAGTAGCCCCCAAGCTACATTAGATTCAAAATAGTATGAGAACTGTCATATAGGTCTGTCTAAGATGGAAAATTGCTTATAAACATATATAAACTTATAAATGTATAAACAAATAAGCACAAGGAGCACACACGTATCAAACTCTCAACATCGTGGTTATGGCGCCCTATGTCCTAGCCTGAACGGGCTGGCGCCCAACCCCTTTCGGCCAACTTGACAACCCCAAAGAGTAAGTACTACTTTTCCTATACCATGAACGAAACAAATGTCAAGTAGGTTGTATTGACCCTCACATGTAGCCTAGGCTAGAATTATTTAACAAACAGTGGGCGATAATAGGTAATTTGTTTAATTTTCAGCATTATTCAACCGTTGAGTATCAAAAAGTGTTTTCTAAGTTGTCATTACCTATACATTGATTATGTGTATTGACTTTTTTCGTCATAAATCTGCTAAGTAGCCATAATATAGCTGAAAAATAAACAAATTTAAAAAATTTAAAGTTTCCGCGGTCGCATTGAAATGATTGCGTGTTATCTATCACGAAATAAATTGGTAAAAATAAAGATAAAAAAAATAATTCTAAGACATTCAAAGAATTGTATGAAAACAGTTGTACTTCATTAATTCATTGATAATTTAATTTCACTAAATTTTTATTACATTAATGCTTTACCCAACACGGTGGGGCAATGCAGTATTGTTTAGGACTGTGCCCGATGATGACGTCACCGAATACGTATCAAGATGGTTGAAACTTTTCTTGGACTTCGTAATATTGAGTAAAAATGGTATAAAAACGCTTCAAAATCATAAATTCGACGTTAAAGGTATGTATTAACAAAGATCACTGTCACTCCTTCATATATGACTCGTGATTATCATGTATTACTCTTTAAAACGACCCCAAATCGGAGTATAAAGTGTTGTTTTTGTTTTATTTTTACACCATTTTTTGGTTTTTTATTTGATTTAATTTTTACCAAATTGCATCCTAATTTTGTGTTTCTTCTTCAGTTGTGAAGCGCTAAAATGTGGAGCAGGATATCAGGAATAGCACAAACGGTTCAGGAGAAGCTGGATGAGTCCCTGGGGCCAGATGATGACCCTCAAGCAGCTGGGGTAAAGATAACATTTTTTATATGTAGACAAGATCTAGCAGTAATGCACTATATCAAGGTTTGTGTAAGGGCCCCTAATTCTAGGCGGGTTATATATGTACTATTGTTTCAAGAGGAGAGATTTTGGCGTCTTAGGACTAGGGATTTCTAAAATGCATCTTCCTAATTGTAATAGGGATTTGACTTTGTTTGACCAGCTACAGTATTATTGCTCCCAGGATTGGATAATTGACTCACTAGACAGTGTAAAGAAATTGACAGCTTAATTTGCACTTTGTCAAAACCTCCACTATTTCCTGAGGTGGTGAGGTGTAATTTACAGATGTTGACCCTTCTCATGTTAATGCCCTTTTTATGTTTTCTCCACAGGGTGAGGAAGGAGATGGACCCAGTGTTGGTGATTTATCAGCCCAGACAGACCAGCAGCAGAAGCTTATACTACAGCTTAAAGATCTCATCAGGGAGAATGAAAATACCATCAAGGCAAAGAACAAAGAAGTCCAGGTATTTTTTGGCTCACAGTGTGAATCTGTTGGATGGACTAGGCATTTGGCCATTAGTTCCTCTATCTGTCAACATTAGTGGTACTAATTAAACATGCTCTCATTTAGATCACTCATTTTGTGTCTGTCTGTTTCATTACCATTTCCCAAGTTCTCTTGTTTTTTGAGAAATCAACAATTATGACTTCAAAAATAACAGTAACTTACTATCGATACGTGTTACAAGTTGCAATAACATATGTCTTCAATCAATGACTAGTCATGTACTCTCAAATTGACTCTCATGTTCTTGCAATGATTAATTGTTTTTATCTTATAGGATACAAATGCAAAGCTTTCAAAGATGAAACTACAGTCAAAGGCAAAGATAGCTAGCCTCACTCGTGAAATGGAGGAACTAAAGAAAGGACTGTCAGATACTAGTGACATGGTATTAATTTTTTATATATGCCAAAATCAACATCAAACTGTAAAAAACTAGGATTGTGGATAATTTCACAGGGTGAAAAAATACAACCCCTTAACTTTATAATAACTTTCTCAATTATGATGGAACCTTTTTGAATTTTTCAATTAACATTTTTTGTATCACTCTGTATAATATTTTATTAGGCATTTGAAGGTTATTAATGATTTTCTTGAATATAGATTGTAAAATGCAGTACAAATATAGATAGATATAATTGTTATCCAAAGAGAGATAATCAATATCTTCATGTTCCTTTATTTCATTTGACCAGGAATTAACTTTTGCAACTTATTTTGATTAAACAACAATATACAGTTTCAATTGGTTGGCTTCGTTTTAAAAAATGATTTGTAAATTTTCTCTGTTTATAGGATTCCAATTTTTCTGATGATGGGGAAATAAGTGAGCAGAAGTTCCGTGCAAAGTTAATGGTGATGAAGAAAAAGCTCTCAGAGAGTCGACAGAATGTGTCGGAGCGAGAGAAGGAATTAAAATCTAAAAATCTTGAGGTCTTATCAAAAGAAAAGGTAGATGAATCACTTTATATGTTGTTATAAAATGTAAATATGTGTACATATAGAGGATCCAGCTAGTTATTTTGCAATTGTTTTAAGCTCCTTGATGAATCTGTTGTATTCTTGCACTGTGGAATGTCCAATTCACTGTAAAATTATATGTGTGAGTGTAGTATTGTAAAAAATAGCAAACTGAAATTGAAACACATAGTTTAAAAATCAACATGAAAGGTTGAGAAACTAAAGTAAATTTCTTACATGTCTCGTCTAGGTGATAGCAGAGAGAGATGAAGTGGTAAAAGTCCTCGAGACACAAGTCTCAGAACGTGACCACATGATTGAAACTCTCAAGTCTGCAGAGGGTGCTGTTGATGCTGAAGAAATTAAGGTAAGTGGCAACGCTTGATTTGCTCATAAAATTGATTAAGTTTGGGAACAATTTTTACCACCATGTACTGCACTGCAATAAATGCGTATGTTTTTATTTAATATGCATCCATCATATAAGCATTTGTTGATCTTCCTTAGTCAATAAGACAGAGTCAGTATGTAAAAAGCAAACTATTTCTCTTCCATGTTTTATTAACAGCTTGATTTTCTGATAAATCTTATGAATCTATATTCTATACATTGTCAATTGAGAATGCTGATAATTTACTTTATTCCTTGCTTATTCCACCATTCTTTATTCTGTGTACCTTATTAAAACATCACCTCTGTGACATTTCAGACCAGGTTGGAAGAGATGTATGCTGCCATGGTCTACAAGGACAAGAAGATTCTAGAACTTAACGACAAGATTCTTCAGCAGGACCAGAAAGTGATTGATATTCAAGAGCTTGTGAATGAAAAAGCTGAGGTGATCAGAGGTCGTGATCAAGCTATACAGGTAATTATCCCACCCAACAAAGTTTGAGAGGGATTTAGATAAGCCGTCTGTCTGTTTGTCTATTTTAAAAGAAACATGACCTCATTACTCCAGCTCCTACAGATTTGCATCTATCTCAATTGACATTCATACTGGAATTTCATAATGGATTGGAAACCTTTTTATGTCCACAATCAATTCATTATCTGATGGTTCTTCCTTGTGAATGAACGTATCCTGGACGTATCCATTCTTTGAAATCTGTCGCATTCTATTGTTCGACTTCCTTTCTAACATATCTACAACATTAGCTGAATGATTTGATGAATGTTTAATTGGTAAAAGTCAAAATCATCTTGAATAATTTTTATTTCAGCTTATACAAGGAGAACTTTCAAACAAGGACGCAGACAGCCAGAGTCAGATGACACTCATCCAAAAACTCACTTCCAAAATCGAAACATACGAGGAAAAAATCAGCATTCTTACTGAGAAAGTGGACCAATCAGAATCAACCTCTGCTTCCTCAGCGGAAAACTTTGGTGCTAAACTTTTAGAAAGTCAGAAATATTTTGAGGAAACTCTGCAGGAAAGAGAAAATGAACTCGCCATCTTGAAGCAAGCATTCCGTGAGAAAGAGGAGGAGCTATTCGCCAGAGATAATGACATTAAAGACTTGATTAATCGTCAAGAAGAAGAAATGAAGAAGTTGATGAGTAAAGGAGAGGTGGATGTACAAGATCAGGTTAGGGATTTCTGAAAAACACACATGTTTCATATTATGTCTCGTGTTTATTCTCAGATCTACACATGTAATTTCAAGAAGATTCTATCATATTTGAGGAAGTTTTTCAAAAATTGTGTCAAATTGTCTGACCCTGTGTAAAATAAACATGAAGAAAATTGAAATTTCCTTTCAAATAAAATTTTGTTTATCTGTTCTTTAGGTGCTACAGATGTTGGAGCAGAAGGTTCGGGACATGCAAGAGTCTCTTGATAGCAAGGTCAAGGTCATTGAGGTCATCCAAAAGGAAGTTGGTGAAAAAGAACGCCATCTTTTAGAAAAAGACACCGCCATAAAAACATTAACAGAAAAATCAGAAATGATGTCAGAACAAATGAAACTCATGCAGGAAAATTTTGTAACTTTAGAAACAACATGGAAAGATGAGAAAAATGTTCTAGAAGTTGAGAAGAAGGAACTGTTTGAAAAACATGAACTTGAGTTAAATGAAAAGGGAACACAGATTCAAACTCTGCAGTCAAATTTGAATCAATTTGAAAGTGCTTACAATCAAGCTGCTACCCAGTTTTCAACATTAACTGAACAGTATCAATTAATTCAAGTCGAAAATGAAAAACTTAAATCTGAGAAATCAGTAACTGAACCCTCAAATGAGGCTGAATCTGAAAAAGGTGCTGAGACTCTCAAAACAGAACTAAATGAAAAAGAAACACAAATATCCCAGTTAAAGAATGAGATGAAGGAGAGTAAAGCAAAAGCAGAGACTAAGTTCCTGAAAATTAAAGCGCAGGCAACATCAAAGGTGAAGAACCTGGAGAAACAGTTAGAGGAGCTAAAAAAGGTAAAATCATGATTGATGCTACTCTTCATCGATCTACTCATTAAGGTATTATCTATTTGCATTCCTACATGTTTCATTTCATTTAAATCATTGATATGAATGATTTGTACGTTTTTGGTTCAGTTTTGTCTTAAATTCTTTCAATGGTGCATCATAGATTCTTAACCCAAGGATAGGAACTCTCATAATTTTTCTGACTCATTCAAACAGAAATGATATCCCTTCACCATAGGTTGGTTAATCTAATGCAGATACAGTATTTATTTACTCACTCACTTGATTAATAAATTGTGACTGAACCTGTCAACTATGTATTTTGCAACAGCTTATTTAGCAAATAAAACTAGCTTGTTACCACCAATCACACTCTCACTTTAAGTCAGTCTCATCACTTTAAAGCCTAGTTAAAAAATTCAACTGATAAAGAGTAAAATTCTATAAAAATTATGACCCATAAATAATTACCCAACTCCTTTTATTCCAGAGCTCTAATCTAGCAGATGATGTTGTTTCCCTTCAAAACCATGTAGCTGAGTTAGAAGAGGAGAAAGGTACGCTGCAACTTAAACTAGTTGAATACGAGGACGTTATAGCACAGAAAGGTGAAGGTCAAAGCCATTTGGTGTCTTTACACAGTCAAGTTATATATTGTCCTAGCTTAATGGTAGTTTAGTTATTTTGTACATGCAACATTGTGTCATTAGGTTCAGTTCTTGTTGATAAGTGTTTGTGAGGATTTGTACGAAGAATTTCAGTTTTTTAGGCCTACATGATTTTGATTTTGACCATCAGAAAACCGGATCAGATCAGACATTATGTCTTGAATTTTCTAGTCAGTTTGTTGTTGTCAGCATGTTATTGAATGCTCAGTGTAAGCAATGTTGGTTGTGATTATTTAGCAGTTGATTGTACCATTCGTGTACTAAGACATTATTGAAGAGTCAAATCCTTTGTGGACACCTAACGTGTGCTTTTGAAAATGAGATCATATTTTACTGTCCAAATAGATTGATAGCTCAATGACCCCCATGTTATTACCATTGTTTTTATTATCATTAATAATTTTTTGACAATTAACAATAACAGTCATCATGATTCATAGGCAGCATATTCTGCACTGTTTGGCTTTGATTTTTTTTTAATGTGACAAACTTTAAGTAATGCCTTTGGTCAGTTTCAGCCATCCATGTGATTTTAAGAGGGTGGATATCATGCAGTTATTACCATGTTCGTCGACACTGTATCAATTAATTAATATTCACAGTTGATTAAATATTTTCCTTTTGTTGCTCAGGAACTATTGAAGAAGAATTGAAGAGTGTGAAAGAACAACTTGAGAAGACGATAGAGGAGAAGTCCAACATTGTGCAATTACTTGATGCCGGGAAACTTGAATTTGAAGCTCTTAGTCAAGAAGTTGTGTCACTGCAGGAGCAAGTGAAACATGTATGTATTTTTAGTATACATGTATGTGCAGTTGTTTTTTTAGGTCATGTAAAAATCAATTCAATATAAACTCACATTCACAACATCAATGGTCATACGTTTTCTTTTTTTGAATGTACACATTTATCCCGAATTGAACATTATAGTCATCTTCTGAATGGGTCTGCCGATTTAAAGCAATAACATTACAATATGTGCAATATTGCCATCACCTTGTGCTGCTGGATGTGTGGGCAGGCACCACATAAATTTTTACGGATGCAAGAGCAGATTAGTGCCAGGATCTGAATAAGTATTGGGCATGCTGAGTAAGTCATTTGGTGGCCATTCTGCTCCACTTCAAAGTGCAATATTTATCATTGTGTGTCTTGTTTACAGAACCAAGTTGAGCATAATGAGAAGCAGGACAAATATCTCCAAGAATTAGAGTCCAAGTTGGAAGAAAAGAAAGTCCTAACTGAACAGATTCAGTCTGAGAAGGATGGGGAGAAGAAGAATCGAGTTACTTTTGAGATGAAAATTGTTGAACTTGAGGAGTTTAAGAAACAGGCAGAGCAGAACATTGTAAGTCTTCTCTGAAATGAAATATATACTTTAAACAATTAAAGGTAAAGACTTTCAATAATGAAGGCTGAAACTAAGCTGAAAGGTATATTGTACCCTCAAATCTGCACTCTGAGATCATAGTACTTAATAGTCACAATATACTGCACTGTACAATACAGTTTGGTGCAATTTTGGTTATTCTCATGGTGAAGTTGCATTGGGGAAATATTAATGGTTAATAATCAAAACTTCTCTTTAATTGGAAATGTTACATACTAGATATGTTCATATGTTTACAGGTAACCATGACAACACAACTCGAGGAACGTGAGAAAGAACTTGGTGCACTGAGAGATGGTGCAGTTGAGGCAGTGGAGAAATGGGACTCTCTGCATGAAGAGAAGGTTAACATAGAGGCAAGATTCAACAATTTGGAGCAGGAAAACAAAAGTGAGTTCTCTTAACAATCAATTTAGTTTTCATTCTTAAAAATAGATATACAAGTATTTTAAGGCCACAAAACAGTCGCCCTAATTGTAAGCCATTTTTGACTTGGATTCATACAACAATGTCAATTGAGAATATCTTCCCAAAAACAAAGTGATCAGAGATACTCATCAGCCATTTGTTTCATCACCAGCAGTCATATCTTTGTATTGAGAAAATCATAGCATTTAATTTGTTTACTATGTGAAAAAAGTGTATATCTGCTGCTTCGCATATCAAGTTGAGAGTGAAACAACTTGACAAATAGAGTGGTTAACTCTAAAAATTAGATTAGATCTAACTGTCTTCGGTTCTGTGGTAAAAAGGTTAGCACTCTGGACTCCTGATGCCAAGATCCTGGGTTCAATCCCAGCTTGTGGCGACAGGAGCCAGCTTATGCTAACTAGTACACCAAAGAAGTTGATCACTAGAGTCATACTAACTCTATAAAAGGCCCGTGCTGGCTTGGTCCTAGCTAGGATAAAGATACCAGTTCCTGTCAGATTAATACGGGGAGCTGTTTCTACCTTTGGATATCAATTAGTTACATTATCCTCCCACACGTATATGCCCTATGGTGTCTGTGTGAGATATGTGACTCAAATGAAAATGAGAAATGAACAACTGGCATTAATGGGACTTTATGTTGATTCAGAACTTCATTACTACACCTCTGTTTATCATAATTCATCCCTTTTTATCACAATATGTTTGCTTTAATTATATTTTAAACATCTGCCACTCAGTTAAAGCAAATTATTATTTCCGAGATCTAAATACCCATGCATGTACATGTACATGAACATATGCTTATATCATGTATACAGCTATAAATTCTCTATATCAGCTGCCGTAGCAATGTGCAAGCTTTACCAATATAGATTGGTAATCTCCCCAGCATTAGGGCAACCTTATGCTGCATCCTGTTAAAAAATTGAAAACAACATGCCCCCAGTTGAAAATCTATTTAGACATAGAATATTGATTTCTTGAGACATTTTAACCAAAACAAGTGACACTAGGACTATATAGGTGTGTTAAGAAAAGAATCATAGGGAGATCGCTGTAGATGTACATTTATTGTAGAATGATCAAAGAATTAAAGGAGTATTGAATCTGATAACTAATAACTGTTATGTTATTTGATAACAGGTCTTCTTCAAGAGAAATCAGATCTGAATGATGAGATTGATAGACTCCATCAACCTGACATAGCATTCCAAAATGAGAATGAAGAACTCAGAAAGAAGGTACAGTATATGGATGTTGATGCCAGAGGTTGCCTTAAAATGAAAAAGCTGTGAAAATATAGATTGTAGTTCAGTTTGTAGTGCAGGAATGTCACTTTAAGATAGTCAGCCAAATGTGTATCAGTCTTTCATTGTATTGTTAGTACAAATTATATTAAGTAAGGGCTAACTTACTAGAGCTATAAACTACTGAGGTGCCTTGCACAGACAATGGCACATTGCACAATATGTTTTGAGAATCACTGTTGAGAACTATTATATATATGTATTAATAAGCCATAAATTTATAATTCGCAAAATTATATTCAATATATTGTTTAGGTACTCAGCTACTATGTAATAGTAAAAAACATGAGTTGCCTTCTGGCCTTTTAACCTATTTAACTGAAAAATCAATTATTGGTTTTGCTCAACATCAGTTCTAGTACAGCTGCATAACAATCAATATTTTAATCAATTATTCTGACAACCCTTTAATAAAATTCCAACTTAAATTGCTATATCCTTATGATACAAGTGCCATGAGAAAAATCTCACTTCAAGACACCCAACTCTTGAAATATTCTTAAAACATTAATCAATTATTAGAAAATATCCATGGATTTAATATAAAATCACATTTGAGGAACACTTTTTTATGCACATTTCTGGCAGAATGATTAGTTGCTTTATTGCCATTCAGTTAAAACACATATTAACCTATATGTTAACATTCTTTTCATATCAGTCAAATGTTTTTTAGCTGGAGCATTTGACAAGCTCCTTGGATGCAACAACTGCTGAATTAGCACAAAGTCGTGAAGATGGTTCTGCCCAATCCTCCAAAATTGAAGAGCTCCAAGCAGTGATTGAGGCACAAACTAAAGACATTCAGGCAAAGACATCAGAACTTGAGAGCCTAACTCTCACACAGGTATTTATTAAATCAAATAACCCAAGTGATTTTCTCACCTGATCAATGCAAAATTCAAGATATTTCAGATTTTATCAAATCTTTCAATGAAAAAAAAAATCACAAAGGCAAACACACTTCTCTGTAGAACAAATTTTGATATCACACATGAAATGAAATATGAATATAATTTATTTTTATTTTTTTTATTCTTCTTTATTCAATTTTAGAACATACAAAATACACATTTAATGACTGCCAAAGTTAAAAATATAATGTAACAAGGCATTGAACAAAATACATAAAACTGTTGTCATAAATGTAGCATTATAAATATTATATTAATTAGTAAAAATCAATATATACCAATCAATATATTGAATCAAAATTAAGGAATCAAAACTTTGTTTTCAGGAAAAACTTGTCCAATTAGAAGAACAATATAGTAATATTCGTCAGGAGCATACTAATACAATGGCTGCTAAAGATAAACTTGAAGAGGAATTCTATATTGTCAATGAACAACTCACTCACCAAAAACACGAGTTCCAGAAAATCATGAACACAATGATGGAGAAGGAAAGTGAATTGAAAGTTACTGAAACCAAATTGGTGCAGAAAGAGGAAGAAGTTGTGTCGTTTTGTTCCAAGTTTGCGAGTCGAGAGACAACTTTAGCTGAACTACAGGTTCAGTTGAATCAGCGAGAGGAAACATTACAGCAAAATCTGAGTGAATCTGAAAGGCAGGTGGTTGCCATTGAAATGCTTCAAGCAGATTTGGACCAAGCAAATGTACAAATTGAGAACATAACTACTGATTATAAAGCAGAAAAAGACCAACTTAATGCTGCTTTTAAAGAAAATTCGGAGGCTTTAGAAAAGCTCTCGCAGGATTGTGCATCAAAGGACAATACTATTGATAACCTCAAGCATGAGATTGAGGAACATATCGAGAGTGTGAAAACACTTAAAGAAACTGTACATGAAAAAGATCACAAGGTATCAGAGTTAGAGCTAGAAGTGAATAAGATCAACAGGGAACTAGATGTTGCCAAGGACAGTCAATCAGAGGAAGGCAAGAAGGTTGAAGCCAAAGTTAGGTCTTTATTAGATCAACTGAATGAAATGGAAGCTGAAGTTTCATCACAACAGCAACGTGCTTCGGTATTTGAATCCCAGTGCAATGATTTGAAAACTCAGTGTCATAAATTAGAAGAAACCCTCAATAGTAAATCAAATGAACTTGATAAAGTGGTCAGTGAATATTCATCAAAGTGTGAAAGCCTTGTTACACAAATTAATGAGAAGGACCAACAGATTTCAACCATTAAGGATCAATATGAGCAGTCAGCTCAAACAATACAAAAACAATTCTCTGATTTGGAAGCAAAATACGCTTGTGATAAAGAACAGTTTGACAAACATGCAGAAACCTTAAGATCAGAATTAAGTAAATTGCGTGCTGAAAATGATACATTTCAAAATGAGATCAGTACCAAGAACACAAGTTTGAGCTCATATCAGGAAAATGTTAACAAGTTATCTGAGGAGCTTGTTGAGAAAGAGAAAGACCTTCAAGATGCAAGATTAAAACTTGATGAAAGTAAATCTGTGATACAAGAAAAGGAGCAAGCTTTACATGAGCTGAATGCAAGTGTGACTGAGGCTGATGTTAAAGTGCAAAGATCGAATGAGGAGACGAGCGTCAAGATGTCATCATTGATGGACAACCTACAAGAGATGAATGAGCAGATGCAACAGTACACAAGCCAGATAGAAGCACAGAATACCCAAATTGAAAACTTGAACAGCGAATTGGATGAGCAACTATCATCTAACAAAGATCTTAAGGATAGCGTTCAAACAAAGGAAGAACTGATTCAAAAGCTTAATGTAGACATTAAAGAGTTGAATCTAAGTATTGATACAAATAAAGAAACAATCTCTACTCTGAAAGAAGACCTTAATAAATCTAATAAGACTGCTGAAAGACTACATGAGGAATTGAAAGCAAAGGAGGAAGTCATATCAACTCTAAATGTTCAAATGAAAGAACTCTCTGACATTAGCCAAGAGAAGGATTCACAAATGAAAGCATTACAAACAGAACTTGAAAACACAGCAGGGTATCTGGAAGAGGAGAGGAACCTGAAACATGAGAAGGATGAACAATTGGCAAACATGAAAGCAAGCATAGATGAGAAAGAATCAACCATTGAGAAGTATATTGAAGATCTTAACAAATTGAAAAAAGTTCTTTCTGATTCTGAAGTAAAGTCTCATGAATTCAACACTAAAATTGAAGAACAAGAAAACAAACTAACTTCCATTGAGGACAAGTGTAAATCACTGGAAGACATTATTCAAGTGAAAGACCAGGAAATTACAACCATGAAGTCAAGTGAGAGTAAAACTGTGATAGAAATTGAGGGACTCAAAAACACTATCAGCCAAAAGGAGCAAGAATTGAATGCTTTGAGCAGTGGGACAAGTGATAAAGATGAACATATAAGAAAGCTAGCACAGGATGCTGAAGAGTTGCAGACTAGATTGCAAGAGTCACTTCAAGGATACCAGGTATTAGATACACAATTTAAAGCCCTAACTAAAGAAAATGAGGAGTTAGCTCAGAAGCTGATAATTGAAACTCAAAACACCACCACTTCAAAGGAAGAAATTGATAAACTCTCTACTATGTTGGAAAATGCGAATGTTCAACTGAAGGATCAAAGTGAGTTAATAACTGCAAAGGATGGAAATTTATCTGAGCTTGGTGAGAAACTTAAGGATGCTCTAAGAGAGTTGGAGGAGCTGAAATTAAAACAGGAGAACTCTTCACAAATGCTTCGTGGAAAGGAGGAGGAAATATCTCAGCTGTCTAATAATATAGCTGAAAATGTTGAAACATTCAACACCTTACAGATAGAATTAGAAAACAAACACAAAGAGATTGAAGGACTTACTCTGAGCCTCAATGCCCAAAGTGGGATCAGTGAGGAAGTTAAACACCTTAAAGATACAATTCAGCAACAGCAAGATGCAATATTTGACAAAGATGGAGAGATTACGACATTGAGAGAAAACATTCTGAGTCTACAAGCCAAGTGTGATACTGCAATGGATGAGAGGAATAACTTTGAAAGTATAGAAACGAGGTCATTGAGCATTATAAATGAAAAAGACCAACAAATTGAAGGACTGAATGAAAGCATTTCTACACTTAATAGCCAGATAAAAACATATGTTCAGGAGCTTGGAAAGGTTGAGATTGAACTTGAATCTGCCAAGCAAAGGAATGCAGAGTTACAAACTCTCAATGAAGAACAGAGTATGAAAATTGTATCCCTTACAGAGATCACGCAGACCTATACACAACAACTTGAAACAATAAGCACAGAGTTGGCCACTGTCAGAACGGAGGCTGATAATGCTCAAAAGACATTCCATGAGAAGGAAACCTCATTAGAAGATCTGGTTTCTAAGAAAGATGTTGCCCTGGAAGAAATGGTTGTTACACTATCACAAAAGGATGCACAAATTCATGATTTATCAGAATCACTAACAAAAACTAAACAAGAATTGTCCTCGTCAACTTTGGAGATTGAAAAATTACAAGCAAACTTGAATAGCTCTAGCAAAGAAGATAGTGAACTGAGAACACTTTGTTTAGAGAAGGACAGTGAGATTCAAAGGGTAAAAGAAACAAATGCACAATTGAGTGACCAACTCCAACAATATGTTCATAATGTAGAGGAAATGCAGTCTCAGTTAAATTCTAGTCATACAGAACTTGAGCAGGCCAAACAGCAGACATTGACGTATGAGAAAACTCAACAAGCAACATTCCAATCCCACACGGAGGAATTAGAAACATTGAGAGAAAAACTAAATTCTTCTATGAATGAAGCTTCTACTCGGGAAACCACAGCAGAAGAAAAAGGTAAAAAGCTGAGTGAACTTACTCTCAAGTTTGAAAAGCTGAAGTCAAAATATCAAGAAAAGGCTAAAGAGGCAATAGCTTTTAAGAAACAAGCAGAGGAAGCTAAGCGCCATTTGGAAGAAATAACAACAAATTATAGTGCAAAAGAGGAAATGATTATAAATCTCACTGAGAACCTTCAAAGGATTACCAATACCTCAAGTGGTCTTCATCAGCAAGTAGATGCCCATAACAAGACAATCCAAGAATTGGTCTCTAAGGTAGAAAGTAAGGATGAAAAGATAAGATCATTAATGGATAATATGACAGAAATGGAATCTCAACTGCAAACTACAATGACAGAATCTGAAAAGGTACTTAATGAATCAGTAGGATACAAAGATGAACTCAAATCGGTTGAAGAAACTGTGAATGAATTGAATGTATCCATAAACAAAAAGGACAGTGAGATTACCAAAATAGAAAAAACATTAGTAGAGAAAGAAACTCAAATCAAAAAATATTTAACTCTCATAAAGAAACTGAAACTTCAAGAAAAACAAAGGAAAGATCAGAGTGACCAGGAATCTCCGAAGCTGCTTGAAATGAATGTGGAATTGGAGACACTAAAATCTAAACTTGAAATGAGGGAAAGTGAAATAAAAGAGTTGAGTTTAGCGCTTGAAACTTCTACTTCTGACAGCTCATCTCAAAATAGAAGCTTTGCAATTCTTGAAGAGTCACTTCAAAGCAAAGAAGCTGATCTTGGTGAAACATTGAATAACCTTCAAATCATTCAAAAGGAAAATACTGATTTAAATCTGGAGATTGGTGCTTTGAAAGAACAGATATCTGAAAAGGATTTGCATGTTAATGATCTATTGAATCAGGTTGAAACTCATAAAGAACATACAGAAAAACTGCAAAGTCAACTAAATGAAGCATTACCACAAATGGCTCAAATTGAAAATGTTCAGCGGTCAAGTGATCAAATGCAGATGTTAACAAGTGATGATGCAAACAGAAGTGATGAACTTTTACAACAAATCGATTCACTTAATGCTCAATTGAGACAACAAGCTGAGCAACACACACAGGAAGTTGATGGCCTTAATAAGACAATTGAGGAATTCAATGTGACAGCTAACAAAAGTGCTGAGTTGTCACAAAAATATAAAATTGCCCTTAAAAAGAAGCAAGAAAAGTCCAAGCAAGATAATGAAACAATCAAGCAACTTGAATCTTCACTTCAAGATGCCAATGCGAAATTAGAACCATTGACAGCAGCTTTGGAGAAACTTACAGCTCAAGATCAGAGTTTAAAGGAAGAATTTGACCAGAAGTTTACTGAGTTGGACCAAGCTAAACTGAAAGCAGAAATAGACAATGAAAATTTAAAGATGAAACTGAGTTCTCTGCAAACTGAATATGAAAGTATGAAAATGCAATCTCAGAGTACTGGAGAAGAAATTCATGCAGTTTCTGATGAGAAAATGAGATTGAAGGAAGAAAATGCTTCCATTTGTGAACAAATTCGAGAGAAGGACCAAAATCTAAAGGATATGTCTGATCAGTTAAATTCCTATACAGAATATGCACAAAATCTTCAAACTCAACTTGAGGAATCATTAGAAAAGCTTAATGCAATGAAAATCCAATTAGAACAGCAAACTGATGTAATAACCCAATTAAAATCAGATTTAGAAACTTCTGAATGTGCACAATCTCAAATGAGGAATACAATTCAACAATTAAATGAACAAGTTCAAAATCAGACTAGAAATGATGCTGAGAGTGCAGAACTTCTTCAACAAATTGAATCACTGAATGATCAGTTGAAAAATCAAGCTGAACAGCATACACGGGAAGTTGATTCCTTGAATTCAACAATTGAGGAAGTTAATGTGACATCCAAGAAAAGTGCTGAGCTGTCACAAAAATATAAAATTGCTCTGAAAAAGAAACAAGAAAAGTCCAAGCAAGATGATGAAACAATCAAGCAACTTGAATCCTCACTTAAAGATGCTAACGAAAAACTAGAACCATTGATGGCAGCATATGAGACACTAACAGCTCAAGATCAGAGTTTAAAGGAAGAATTTGACCAGAAGTTTACTGAGTTGGACCAAGCTAAACTAAAAGCAGAAATAGACAATGAAAACTTGAAGATGAAACTGAGTTCTTTACAAACTGAATATGAAAGTTTTAAAATACAGTCGCATGATGCCGAGAAGACCACTTTTGCCAAAGTAGTTGAGGAAAGCTCTACACTACAAGAAGAAAACAAAAGCCTTCTTGAAAAACTAAATGTGAAGGATTCTGAATTAGAATCTTTAAAACAGCAACATGCAGAAATGAGCCAAGAGCATTTACGATTACTTGAAGGTCAGATAAGTAGCGATGAAGCCATTAAACTGGAGAATAGCAAACTTGTTAAACAATTTGCTACAGCTGAAGAATCGAGAACCAAATTGATGGCCGAACTTGAAATGTCAAAAACTCAAGTTGAGCAGTTGGAAACAGAACTAAGAGTTTTACAAAACAGTAAAGCTGATGAGGATGTTGAAGTTGGTCTGCTTTCTGAGAAATTTAGCCAGATATCTATTGAAAAAGAAGTTTTGCAAAAGGAGGTCACTGAGAAATCCACAGTTATAAATGAGCTGAACCAATCTATGAGTTCTTTAATTGAAGAACATCAAATAGTTACTGCAAAATACCAAGAACTAATGGTTGATTTTGAAAAGGTCTCATCTGATGCAATTGCACTTAAAATCAAGAGTGAGGAGTTAATTCAACAGGTTGATGTGCTTTCCCATGAGAAGACTGAAATTCAAAGCCAATTAGAGCGCACTATTCAAAACAAAGAACAACATGACTTTGAATCAAGGATGCAGATTGAGGTTGAGACATTAAGAAAATCATATGATGAGAGTTTCTCTGAGAAGGATTCACACTTGTCAACTCTTCAAGAGAAGTATAACGAAACATTGAATGAATGTGAAAACCTTAAGCGTAAAGCTGATGCTTCTGAGACAAAAATGGAAAAAATGTTGGTAAAACTCAAGGCCTTCAAAGAGAAGAATGATAACATAAACACTCAGTTGAAGGATATGACTAAACAGGCAGAGGAAAGTAAAGCAAGAGCAATGGACTCACAAAATGATCAGATTGATGGACTGACAAGGTCAAATAATGACCTTGTGAACCAGCTTCAACAAACAAGAAACGATCTGGATGAGTTGAGGACAATAAATGCTGCAAAAGAAAACCAGCTTTCTGAGTTAATGCATGATAAAGAAATATTGGATGCCAAAGTTGCTCAATTGCAAAGAGACCGTGAACTTATGATGCAAGAGATGGCAAGCTTATCGGAGGAAAATAGCCACTATGATGAACGTATTACTAAATTGAAGTCAGAAATATCAGAGATGCAACCAACACTCACAAAGTACAAAAGTGATGCTAGTCGGTATGAAGAAGAAATCGAAATTCTTGAAAGTAGGCTTCAATCAGAAATTTCCAATCACATTAAAAGTGATGAAAAGATTAAGGAACTGAAAGTTGAGCTGGATAATGAATGTTCAAAGAATGAAAGTCTGTACATGTCTTTTGAAAACCAAAGTGGAGAGTTGGAATCAGAAAACAAAACTCTAAAACAAGAGTTGAAGAATGTGAAACAAGAAAAAGATGTATTGAATGCAAAAATACAAGAGTTAACTGAAGAATACACTACAAGTAAAGCAACGTTTGAATCAGAAATTGAGCAGCTGCTTCAGCAGAGTGAAAATATTAAGAAAGAGATGGATTACCAACAACAGATCTTTGACTCTCAAATACAAGATGCAAGTACTCATAAATCTGATTTAGAAGCAGCTGTTGAACAATATAAAACAATCAGTAATGACTTTGAGAGGCAGAAGTCAGAACTACAACAACAGTATGACAACCTTGACAGTGATAACCAAAACTATCAAGATCTTGTGGAAAAATTACAAAGTGAACTCCAGAATCTTAAGGACACTGAAACTCACAGCAAAGCTGAAGTTCAGGAGATTTTATCCATCAATGAAAAACTCACAGATGATATTAAAAATCTTGAACTAGTTGCAGATGATCTTAAGGAGGAAAATGGAAAGCTTACTACAAGATTGCAGTCCAAACAAGATACAGAGGTCAAGTTGATGGAACTTGAAGCTGAAAAAGAGACTTTGATGCATGAAGTTCAGACAATGACCCAACAAGTGGAAGTTCTCAAATCAACTGCTGAAGATGATAAGAAAGAGTTAATGAATGTAATTGAGCAATATAAAGATGATGTAAATGCTTTGGAGGAACAGAATGCCAAATATGTTGAAGAGATTGAAGGCTTGAATTGGAAAGTGGAGGAATGCAGTGAAATGGATAGTGAATTAGAGGAAACTAGAAACAAACTATTCCAGATACAAAGTGAAAATGGAGGAATGAAAAAACAAATGAAAGATTTGAATTCTACATTAGAGAACCTGCAAAGTGAGTTCACTGACATGGAAACTACTGCACAAGAAAACTTCAAAAATTCAGAACAGCTTAACCAATCTATGAGCGAAATACAAAAAGAAAATATGAGTACTTTGGAAGAGCTGGAGCATATAAAATCTAAATTATCAGATACTGAAATAGAAAAAGAAAAATCTGCGAAAGATGCTGAGAATCTTGCTGAACAACTCAAACAGTTGGAAACATCAATGAAAGAACAGTTAGATGAAAGTTTGAATGAGAGTGTGCAGACAAGAAATCTATTAACATCAGAGAATGAACAATACAGAGCAAAATTAAATGAACTCAATGAACATATTCAAAATATATCTTCTGATAATACGACTCTTGCCATGGAAAATCAAGGATTGAAATTAGAACTTGAAAATGTGAAAAGGAACAATGTGGTGCTAGCCCGTCAACAACAAGCCAGCATAGATACCAGTTACCAGGGTGGTTCACTAGCAGAAGCCAGAAAGGAAGTCCAGCAAGAGCTGCAAGAAGCTATGGAGAATATTCATCAAAGAGATCTACGCAACCAGGACCTAGCAATGCAGGTAACTAGTATAAATCTCATAATACATGCTGTGAACAGATGTAAACTGCCATCGAATTAATTTATGATTGATATTGTCATTTTAGATCCATCAATGACATACTTGTGTATTGAATTATTATTTTTTTTTAATATTACTTAAGGAATAAAGACCGAGATTTTATGATTTATTGCGTAATATATGACCGAAAATCTTGAGGTCATATATTTGACATAAATCATAAAATCGAGGTCTTTGTTACGATTCCAATATGATAAACAGACAAGAAACACGATTTGTTGCATTTATGAATTTTATTGGTCATACATACTCCAATATAGACCAGTAAATCAATTGTTCTAGCTAGTATGACGTCACGTATCATTTTTTCATATTAAGGATAAAAACATCCTAAATGACCTTCAAAAGTACACAAATTCAGGAACTTGCATATTATTAACTATTTCAGATTGGTCAACTGACAGAAGAAAGAAACCATCTCAGATCACAGATGGCACGTCCTGGATCACGCTATGCCAAGAAGGATCCACCTCCAAAACCAGTTGCACATCGGGAGGTACAAACAACAGACCATCAACTTGAAAAACTAAAAGAAGAACAAGGACATATGTATGCAAGGTATTTAGATCTTTTGTAAAGGAATGTAATGCTTAGGGTGAACTGAATAAGATGGAAGGAAATTTAATTTTGTAATGCATGGGGAGGAAATGGTAAACACTTTAATATTTACCCTAGCCTAAATGGTATCAGTTATTTCACAATTAAGACTTCATTAAAATTGAAATCTATCCACAGGATTGAAGAGCTAGAAAGAACAGAACAGGATGTAAGAGAACTAAATAGTAGACTAGAAGATACTATAACTGAAGAGAGGGATAGAAGACTTGAGTTAGAGGATAATTTACTGAAGTCACAACAAGCTCTCCAAGAAAGTGAACAGCAGCTTAACAGAATCAAACCAAAAGAGGTGAGCTGAGATACTATTTTCAGAGTGATATTTTGTATTGTGACTATTTTGAATATTAAAATTAGAAGAAACCATAAAAATAACAAACAAACCTAATAACCCAATAACCTATTGGATGTCATGGACCATTATTTGTGATTTCTGGTTGCCATCGGCAGTTGATATCTGTAAAAAATTGTTACACTTTTGTAACCATTTGCAATAACTTTCTAGGGTGTTACTTGTTTATTATTTTATTTTAGGTCCACCTCCAAGTAGAGTCTGATGAGAAAATAAGTTTGGTGACTCGCTTCAGAGAGACTTCTCCTCGACTGAGTAAGTTATATTAAACTAGCTTAGACATTAGTAAAAATCATTCCATTTATTTCAAATACTTCATTTTCAAACTAAAACCCTGGATCAACTTCTCACATAAATCTGTTGACATTACTCATCTCCTTTACCTCCAGGTATTTCAAACGACTCTGTATATAATAAGACCAAGACCAACATAAAGTGTTCACATTGTTAGCTTTTCAAATTAGATAGTTGTTCAGGGATATATGTAAGTTTCACTTTACTTGTTATTTCAGGTCGCCAGGTAAAGAGCTACTGCAGGAGGCTCCAACAGTGGATGTTCCTACGCAGGTATGATACGCTATAGTTCTATGGTATTGACTAAGCTCTAGTTAGTTCATATTCATAGTTTCGCAAAAGGGCCAGGTGTTTCAATCATATAACATTGTATTACCATACAAAAAGAGAATATTCTGATTTGTGTACTATTTAATTGTGGAATTGTAGTTTTGTTGCAGATTGAATGTAAGTGTTAATCAGTTGTATTCATGAATCTCCAGTTACTACTTGTAAGCGTTCACAATGGTATTGTTGAATATAAGCATACTGCTGTATGATATTTGTATTCAGTTGGAGATTTCTTTTATACTTGATACATATATATCTGAATACAATGATCAATTTACATACATGTAGTATATATAAGCAATAATTAAACCCTTTTAAAGGTTAAATAAAACGTTTGATTCAACCAATTAATTTCTGTACTTTTTCAGAGTTGACGATTTTTTCAGGTCAAGTCAGTGTATGATTAACTGCATGAGAATTAATATGTGATTATATTATTACAGAGATTCTCAATGTCTACAAGGGGCATATAGACCTGGTGTACCAAGAATGAGACTGATGATTATTCTCTACTTTGCTCTACTACATGTGTTGGTCCTAAGCTGTTTTGCTGGGCTGTTGTTCTAACTGCTGATTATAGAAAAGAATAGTGTAATTATGTGAATTGAAAGCTGTCATGTTACCAAGTACTGTCAGGAACTTAAACCAGAAACTGTCAGATTACTAGAAACTGTCAGATTATAAGAAACCGTCAGATTACCAGACACTCTCTGATTACCAGACACTATCAGATTACCGCAAACTGTAAGATTACCAGACACTGTCTGATTACCAGACACTATCAGATTACCACAAACTGTAAGATTACCAGACACTGTCTGATTACCAGACACAATCAGATTACCACAAACTGTCAGATTACCAGACACTATCAGATTACCAGACACTGTAAGATTACCAGACACTGTCTGATTACCAGACACAATCAGATTACCACAAACTGTAAGATTACCGGACACTATCAGATTACCGCAAACTGTAAGATTACCAGACACTGTCTGTTTGCCTGATACTGCATTTTAAGGCAGATTATTGGTACAACTTTTGGACTTGTTTCTGCATAATGTAAGCAGTCAGTTTGTAAAATGTCTGGATAAGTTATTAGATTTTATAAATTGCCTATTACATGTATTATTGCCTTAAATCATTGATGTGATGAGACAATAAAGGTAAACATACGTTTGATGTTGTCAGGCAACCAACCATATATGTAAATTGCATATGCATTTGATGTGGTGAGGTGACCATATAATAGATTGCCTAATAGTAGGAAAATCTTTGATTTGTTAAAAGATGTACTTGTACCAAATATTACTATAAAAAATGTGCAGTCATTATATACTCTACCCCCTATATTTCAGAATTTTATAGGGGCAAAGGTTTGATGTAAAATGATATAGAAATACAAAACCTATTGATCTGAACATTTCTGTAATCCAAACACCTCCAACCTATGAACACCCTCTTAGTCCCAACTTTGGTATCTCCCATAGACTCCCTCATTAAAGAAATCTTTAAATGTGAACACTTATTATTCTTAACACATATCTGGTCCCAGTGGTGTTCGGATTAGACAGGTTTTACCATATTGACAAAATAACTAGCTGTTATCTTGATACATAGTATATTGCACTGTGACTCCAGTTTTGCCACAACACTGGCTTAGAGATTGTCAATGTTTAATGTATGTATATTTTATGATGCCATATGTAATGTAAATGTCTAAATGCATTTATTTCAAGTGATGTTTTTGTATATATTTGTAATTGTATGCTTGGCAGATGCTTATGCAAAATGGTCACTTTTTTAATATTTTTATTTTAGTTTCTCGTCAACATCACAAAACTGAGGGATCTTAGTTCATAAAATCATGGAATGCATAAAACCATTGAGGAAATGGCTTCCAATTGAGATGAGTTGAAACTCAAGTTAGTCATCTGTTCAAATGTACTATTTTTCATTATTATTAGTTATAGTTGAGGACTTTCTATCTGCAGTGGAACTTTCTCAAGATGTGCAATGTATTGTTTATCTTTTCTCAAGGGATGCTTATCATTTCTAAAAAGGCTATCTCTGAGGTGGTTGGGCCTTTGTATTTTATTTCATTATGTAATACTGTGTTCATTTCATATGTGTGGCACAACATGAATATCACTAGTTTTCTATTATCTAATAAATCATATTTTCTATTTAGAATGATGTGTTTGGATTGGTCAAATCATGTCACATGACCAGTTGATAAGTGATATATTGCACAGTTCACATTGCAGACTCGGAATTCATTCATGTGTAATATATGTACATTTTACTTTCATGTGATAAGCAATATACATTTAAAATACTGTATCTTAGTTTAAAATCTCATGTAAAATGCTATAAACTTAGTGTTATATAATATTAAGTTACATTAAATTATATCAGCACAAGAATAGGGAAATTAATAGTAATACACATATAATAGTAAAATGGACCATAGCATAATGGGTTGAAGAGCTTATCATAAAATATTCTCTGCATATTCTTGTAAATATATGGTTAAGGTTTAGAATAAATATTTAGATGATTTAAAAGCCAGATGCATGGATGTAGTATACCTGTACATTTGTATTTATAAAGGCTTGGTGCAAATTATAATATATATTATGCAGAAAACATTTCTTAACAACTGGGCTTTGGAAACAATATCTGCATTTGTATCATAAAATAATGGATTGCTTATTGTATATTGGAAGTGTAAAATAGTACTGGTGTTTATAATGAATTTATGGAAATTGATTTGAAGGGAAGATGGCAATATAATAAATTGAATATTATTTAAAATAAAACAATGATGTTGTAAATGATACACAAACGTTGAAAATCATTCTCATAGACTAGCCATCACATCTTTGTCCATCTGTTTTTTTGTTTATACTAAGCAATCCTGTCTGATTTAGACATATTCCCTGTTATGCATGTTATGTTGGATACATCATATCATGGACACCATATTCTCTTGTCATTTAACTACACAACTGTAAAAGGGCTGACATTCCTATTACTCCAGACACATCACACGTCCCTTTATACACAGAAAGAAGCCAACTTTCGACCACTTCCAAATCACGACAGTAACAACACTAAACAGTTTGTAAAAATAATCAAATTTAAATATAATTTATTTCATACATAATTCATTCAGATGGTTCTTCACCACAAGTAATGTACAGCAATGTACATTTTGTCTTAGCAGAGCAGATTTCAGTTGAAATATTGAAATCTTTATTTTATATATATCTGGCTATTACAGACAAAATAGACTATGCGCTTAATGTCAGTGAAATGTAGTTTCCAAATCAAATCTCTCATGTTTCTCCCTAACCGTAAAATTAACTTTATTGTTCCACAACTATTGACAATTTGACACCATTCTTTAAAAGCATTGCATCAACAGTAGACACTTTTGTCGTAAGATAAAATCATAACTCCTGGATAATTAACATACAAAAACTTCCATAACCCCTGCAATGTTTTGATGCATCAACCTGCAATATTGGCAATGTTTGGATTAGGTGATCGAATATACAGTTTTCACTGTATTTGTTCTCTACAGAATGTATTGGAAGCTCTCAGGGATCTAATGCTACAATTGTAATGAACAGATCTGTGTTTCCACCCTGCAATATAAGTCGCCTCTATTTACTACTAATTTAAAACAAAGTGCTTAAGGCGAGTTATTTGGACCTTTTCCCCATAAATTGAGTTACCAGAACTGTTTTCATCTCAAAAATAAGTTTTCCACTAAATTTGAGCTTTCTCCTTTGATAGGGGGCATGACAAGATACAAGAATTCTCTTCGACCTTTATTTCAGGGATTGTTTAAAAAAAACATATTTAACAGTTGCCTAGCAGCCTTAAGCACTTCTTTTGATTGTGGCTCAAAAGTGCTCTAAATGTTGTCATTTTGTGTTGATGCTTGTGTACACGTAATAAGAAACCTCGAATCAAGATAGCAAGAAGACAGTTAAAGGATGAGTCTGGGTATCGACTTAGAAAATATTGAAAATTGTAATGTCTGAAAAACCAACTCAATTACACATATTATTAAACTTCAATATCTTATCCTTCTTCTGAGATTACAAAAATATTAATTTGTATCACAATTGATGAAGAATATTGGCATCAAAGACAGTGCATATCACTTTGTCAGAATTGAAAAAAATCAATGGCAAAAATTAAATGAATTAATTATGCAAAAAGTTTGAAACTTATCTTCCAAAACATTGGTTACTTTCTTTGTATAGACATTGAATGGTATTTCTGGATAAGTGAATTGGTGTTTATCTGGGTAATCAAGGGATTATAGTCACTCAAAGTTACTGAGCATCCAGTTTTGAGACTTCAATTGTGTTGGTGAAGTTACACATATTCCAGTCAAATTCATGCTGAGCACAACATTCCGGTTTCAATTTTATAATCTCTATTCGTGACCCTGGTGATGAAGAGTCAGAATCAGTCAAAAAACCTAAACCGGAAAACTGTGCTCATTGTGAAAACTAAAAGTGAAGCAACTTTTTTTCTGATATTTCTCATATCAAATGGCAACCATCTTGTTTTTCACCCTTCAAATTAAACTGGCGGGAAATTCAAAAATTTGAAAAAATTTTAATCCTTAAATATATTTTTCAAAAATATGATTTTCTCTTTAATTCTTCATGGGTCTTAAGTTATTTCTTCTTTGTATGTCATACATGTTGCCATTGGTGTTTTTTTCTATGATAATGACTATTTTTTTGTTTGTTAAGATACTTATTCTGACTCTCAGTAGGGGGTTAATTATGCATCAAAACTTGTGAAAAAGTAAATATACTTATCAAATATAACTAGGTCAGTAATAAAAACCATATTTCACATACATTTGACTGAGGGACCAAAAGGGCATATACCCAGACACATCCTTTAACTTGAAATCTCTTTTTAAACATGCAAGAACAGATCCAAGTCAGGCAAGTCAGGTTAATTCATGTTGGTTCCAAAGTTTCTCTTCCCAGGTTTGTTGTTATTAATATTTTATTAAAAGAATAAATAATTACATTTCATTAAATCAACTTCCAGGTCTTGATTAATATGGACTGCCCAATCTCTTGGTTAAGCTCACAGCCAATGACCTGATTAGTTCCAACTCTGCTTGAAGCCACCAACTCAGCCAGGGAAATTTGCATTGGCTTGCTTGACAAGATTCGAGACTGAAGTTGAATATCACTCAATCAATCTCTAACACTAGTCTATATTCTGTAAACTAAATTGTCCCTAATGATAAAGTCACTTGATGCTCTTCTGGTTCTTCAGATTCCACATGCATTAAAAGTCCAGTCTCTGAGCTTGTAACATCGGTTGAAACAACTAATTTCACATCATTTTCATTTTGGATTAGCAAGGCTTCATTTTCTGACTGGTGTATAACTGTCTCTGTGTGTGGTTGAGAAATAATATTGTCATTTTGAGAATCACTATCTGGTTTTAATATACTCTCCTCCGCGATTAATTGCTCTGCTTCCAGCGCCACCTGCTGGGATTCCATATTGGCCATTTGAAGTTGTATCTGCGGTTGGGTTAAACTATTCGTATCCCCTTCCTGAAAGCAAAATATTTACTTTATTGATATAAAGATTAGAAAAATACAACCTTTTTACAATAGATAAAAATATGATTACATAACAAGGCATTAAAATGCAGAATTTCACCACCTGCCATTAGTTACAGATACTGACCATCAAACACTGTCACCACTTGTGGTAGCAACATAAAAATCACTCTTATTAAAATCAGAACATTGCTTCAAAAGGAATTTAGCCAGACCTAAATTTTAAATCATTGGAAATTGAAAATGAGAAAAAAATAAATGTGAAAATCAATGTTCCTCTCGTAAAAATTGCACAGAGAGTTCAAATATGTCATCAAGTAAAATAAGTTTTCAATGAGATTTCCAAGCCCTATATTAAAGCCTCAATCAAATTTCTTCAAAAGAGGATCATTTAAGCCTATATCAGTATGCTTACCTGGCTTGTGTTGGGGAACATGTTGGGATGCAGCCTTGACAGTAGTTGAGCTGTCTCTGGGGTCAGTTGGTTGGTGATTTGAGTGGTTCCATCACTCAAGTGCGTCTCGACTCTGGAAATTGTATGTTGACCATCTGAAATTCAAACAAAAATATGATTTGTTATGCTTATTCCAGTATTTTACTGATGTCAAAAATATGAAAGATTGTGATCCAGGTTATATGTTGGTCATGTTTATGCCCATACATTTAAATTAATGGTCCATGTAAAATATCAAGAATTTTCATTCTACTCTGACAACCTTATGAGCCATAATCACAATTTACAAATAAAATATCTTCCAGAAAATCGCTCAAATACATAGAAAAAGTAAGTGGAATTTTGAAACTTTTTTTTATTTTCAGGAAAACATGAAGAAAAAATTAAGAGATCAAATGAACCAAACGATACAATATTTTAATGATGAATCTTTGTTTACCTTCTCCGGGTGTTTGAGTAAGCGTGACAGTGACAGTCTCAGCATGAGGTTGCGTCATATCAGGCTGCCACATTGCCGCAATGTCTTGACCATTAGCGCCATCTATTATTGGTCCTCCAGTTACAACTTCTACATTTACCTTGAAAGTAAAAATGTCTCATTTAAATAGTGCCAAAGCCTCGAATTCAAGCACGATAGGCTTTATCAATTTATTGGGCCGAGAATTAAGAAATATATAGACCGAAGAGCAGGGGTAATATTGTCGAATACACCCCGCAGGGCTAGGCACAAATGTTTTCTGTACCCTGAACGACCAAAGGGAGTGAGGGGTTCGAAAGCTTTTGTGCCTGGTCCTAAGGGGTGTATTCGACGATATTACACCTGCTCTGAGGTCTATATTACGATTCGAACATGAAAACTCACCAAAATGTTTCGAATTTTCATTATGCTCCGCCATTACTACGGCCCGCTGTTATGACGTCACACATTACATGTATTACCAGTAGGGGTGAGACGACAACCCGATGAGTCGAGGACTCGCGGGTTTGGGGCTTCGAGTCGAGTCAAATTGAGTCGAAGTTGATGAATCGAATCATTTTCGAGTTGAGAAAAAAATTCGAAAAAATAAAAAAATTCAGAAAAATACTGTCAATATGCATGTTTTTACTCGATATTGTGTTGAATATATAAGTTTCAATGACTTGGATATGCTTGTATTAAATTATTATATTGTATGTACACATTAATGAAAGAATATATATAATAAAATCAGAATAAACTTACGACGAATTGTGTTTGTTTATATTTCCGGCTTTCCACCATTGACGCATTAAAAATACGAACGGTCAAAAGCGATGTTGTTCGCACTTCGCGCGACTCGAAACGGATTCAAAAGTCGAATCGTCATTTTCTGACTCGAATCGGATTCGACTCGAATCGGATTTTTTCGACTCGTCTCACCCCTAATTACCAGGGTTATCATTTGCGAATATACCCTTGTTTACAGTTTATAGAGGGCGTGAATACAGTCATGTTCCAATTAATAATAAAACAGCTAGATTAATTACAGATCCGAAAATCAATTTTGTGTTCTTCATGTGTCAGAGTATTTGAATAATAATTGACTTATACAACATAATGTTGGAGGAAGTGCACCTCTGATCTACATGGCTCTGCTTGAAATGGAATCTACCCAAGATTAGATACGAAGTGAGTGACTCCGATTGACTCTGACTCTAATTGGTTAGATTTCATTATAGTGTAGCTAATTATTTGTAGCAACGATATGAGTCTGGTTGCAGTTTACACAGATCCGATCAGATATCTACAAAAATAGGACATTTGGACATCTCATACAGAAAATACACTCCAGTATTGACTTACAGTTTGAGCAGTTACTGGAAGCTTCCCAGTCTCTATGTCTTTCAGGGCCTGGTGTATGTGATTCTGCAAATCATTCACAGAGGGATAATAGGAGAGATTGTGTTTTTCATACACCTCCCCACTGCCATCATAAAGGTCTCTGTCAACATATCGCCTGAAATATAATCAATGATTTAGAATGTGCAAGATATTAGAAAGATTTCGCATAATTTGTTATAGCTAAAGATGATCAGCAACCGCCTCTTATTTCAATTGAACAGCTAACCATAAATCTGGTGAACGTGTTAGGAATTTTAGATGGGTTGACCTAAAAATATTGTGCAAAATCTCTCTTTCTAAGGCTTTATCACTTGTACATGGTCAATCTTAGTTTTAAAGGTTTCACACTTTGATATGTTAAGTTTGCTTCAATGAATATGTTATTTAATAGACTTACAACTGCTTTGTAACAACACTGAGCAATAACCCTTGGAGGTTTGCTTCATTCTCTGATGGAAACAATAAGATGAACTAAAGGGGTCATTAGAAATTTCCTAAATAAAATTACTTTCTAAAGTGCAAGGTCATCTGAAAAGCCATTCAGCTATCCTTAGGGACATACCTTAATTGTTTTCTTATGGCATATAGTCTTGTTTCCCCCGCTGCCACCATTTCCCTCAATTTCTCAAGAACCTTAGGGTTGATTCTGTTACTTGGTTCTTCCTCTTCAACTGGTTCCTCCGATACTTTGTTAGAATGGTAATCATGGGCCTTCTCAGTTGGCAGCTGTACATAGAACCTTTGGGGAGATTACAATTGTGTGTTATGAGATTCATTAGACACTTTTGTTCTGTGAAACTTTTGAACAATGTGACAAGTCTGACACAAATCGAGAAAGTTCAATCAAGGAGCTGTTATTCCAATGTACATTATCAATTCAACTTGAAAATTCACATTTCAAGAAGAAAGGTAGATGGGTTGTGGTAGATGACCTTGTTTATGTGAAGAATTCAATATTTTAGTGTTTCGTCAGATTCTAGTATTTTAGTACAAGGCAAAAAAACTATTTTAGAACATGCAAAATGCCACCACCTGACATTTGTTATGGAACTCTGAATGCCAACCACCGAACACTGTCTACAAAAAAGTTGGAGACAATGTCCACAAAAAAAGTTGGAGACAGTACATCAACTCGTAGTGGTAACATAATAAGAGATGGCCCTTACCTATCTTCTCCCATGCTTTCAGTTATACCATTCTGTTTCAACTCCATGAATGCTTTGTCCATTGCATACTTCAATGCTTTCTTGTCAATGTTGATGTTAACAGCAAATTCAGGAAACTTACGTGCCTTTTTAATATATATTCTGAAAGAATATATGTATAAACCTGTTTGTATATTCCATTTCTGTTGTTACAAGGTTCATAGAACTTCAATTCACATATACAAAATAATTCAATTCTGCATCAACATTTTATTCAATTAGTCTAAATAAAAAAAACACTGCCCTTTCCCGATTTAATTTAAGGCACTGGGTAAGACATAGAGGCCCAAAAAGCTTTGAGGCCTCAAACAATTAGTTTTGATATGTGTTGATGTTTCACAACCTTTATAGTGGAAATGCACCATTACAAAAACCAGGCCAAAGAATGGTGAGACATTTAACAGTGTAAAGATTCCATGATGGGCTCCCGTAATGTGGATAAGAGCATATTATGTTCAGCAGAAAGCAGTTTTCATTTATCAAAAAATTGTTGACAGACAGATGGACAGACACACAAGTACGCCGTTGACAGACAGATGGACAGACACACAAATACGCCAGATAGCTTTACCTTGCTGGACAGGTTTTCTTGAAACCATCCCTAATAATGGTACATCCAAGTTTTTTTGCTTGCACCCCCTTCCGCCTGGGTCCAAACTGACATTCCATTACTACTGCTCTGCTACCTAACAAATAAAATACACAATGAACAAGTAAATGTAAAATAAAATACTGTAGATTTATTTATTTCTTCCTTATGTAATTTCAAATTTGAATTGTACCAGTAATTATTTCCTTCTTTTATTTTCAAAATATCTAATTAATTATCTTATAAACTGCACCAATACAAGTAAATTGCAACTGTTATTTCTAGCACTACAACATGTTAAATCATTAAACAATACTTTATAATTAAAAACATAATAAAATTTAAAAGTTTACCAGCATTAATGAATGGTACACCATCAAAGGGTACATATTGAGACTTCCACATGAGACGGGTAGAAGGCTTAGCTGGGCTAGGAGACTGCCTGGTGCCCCAGAAGCTCATTGTTTGCTGTTTGTGGTAAGTCAACAGTAAGTCCAGTTCTACCTCACTCTCCACCCATCCTCTATATGAATCTCCAATTGCCTTAAATAAAACATTTTGTTGTTGCTAGTGGAGATGATAAATGGAAAGACATTAAAGTGATAATAAGGGGATACCTCAGAAGTTTTGCACTAAATTCTGCATATATGAATCATTTTGTTAAATGTAACAGGCCACCTACCAATACCATCCTGCTACTGCAACAGACATTCTCTATTACAAAAGTGATTATTTGGACAGTTTAGTACTAAATATTTGAGTGGCATCTTAATAAAACAGATAACAGGAAATAAACAGTAATTGATGAACATTTGTGTCTTGTTTCTTTGTTTAAACTAGCAGCAACCTTTCAAGAGTCAAACACAGCATAAAAATTTCTGCAGGAAGTACATGCATACTGATACAGAGTTATGTATTCTATTCCATTATGGGACACTAAATTTTTTTTTATATACATAAATTTATTCCTTTAGTAAACAATAATAGACATGCAATTGATTGCATTGGGACATTAAATTGGATCTAAAGATCTGAAATACTGACGACAGATTATGAATTTACATTACCTCACAATCACGTAGCCTTGTGGCCCAGGGGGGACAGTTAGGGGGTAAGGACTGTGGTATTGCAGGAGGGGGCATGAACTGACTACTGTCAACAGTTACACTCCGAATCTTATCATCTGAAAAAACAGAAAAATTGTGTAAAATATCATTTTCAATTGCAAACTCCCTGTCGAGAAATATACAGGAAAATCCTGTAAAGTGTGTGTCACCTATTTGTATCTTCTACAAATAAAGGTATACCAAATTTCAAATGTATTTCTGCAGTCATCAGGTCAGAATGTAATCTTGGATAAAGCAATTTTTGAATTTTGTAACCTTTCCCCCACTTTCAATTATACCCTTATTAAACAAATATATATGTAAAATGAATGAAGGAAAGGGATGATCAGATAATTAATCAATAGCATGCAAAATGATTCCACCTGCCATTTGTCACATGTGCCGAACTCTGAATGCTGGATGTCAATATGGTTGAAGAACAGAAATAACTTATCAGTTAATAGACAAGCTAGATAATAATAATTTATTACCTGTTTGTAATTTCTGAGTGCCATCTTGACTTAGTGCAACTATAGTGGCTCCCTCTGTTGAACCGTTATTGGCCAATACCTGCCACACCTTCCCTCCTGCTCAGATATAAATGTAAAAGTGATAAGTTTAAAACATGAAAATAATAAAAACAATAATTCAATTTAATACTGTGTAATGTTTGGTAATGTTTATTAAATGAATGCCGAAAAACTAATCAGTTCTAAACTTTCATAGGAAGAAACATCCCTGAGAATTTCAAATGAATCCCTCAAACGGTTTGGCTGGAAACCTGTAGACAAGCCTTGACAGACAAGATTTTAGGATTGAAAATCCAAAATGGCCGCCTTAACATTTACCCAGAATGCCGAAAAACTAATCAGTTCTAAACTTTCATAGGTAAAAACATCCCTGAGAATTTCAAATGAATCCCTCAAACGGTTTGGCTGGAAACCTGTAGACAAGCCTTGACAGACAAGATTTTAGGAAGGAAAATCCAAAATGGCCACCTTAACATTTACCCAGAATGCCGAAAAACTAATCCGTTCTTAACTTTCATAGGTAGAAACATCCCTAAGAATTTCAAATGAATCCCTCAAATGGTTTGGCTGGAAACCTGTAGACAAGATTATTCGGGATGCCCACCCGCCCGCCTGCACGGCAAACTGATTACAATATAGCACCTTAGGGTGCGATAAAAAACACAAAAAGTTATACATATAGACACATAAACTGTTTAGATAAAGCCTACCATCTGCAGTAAGGAGCTCAGAGCTTGGAACAGTGATGATCTGGTATTCCAACTGGTCAAGACCTCCTGCCTCCTGGTTAACTGCTATCACATTAGAGCTGCGCGCCAGTAGACTTTGCAATGTTTGGTTTTCACTCTGTGTTTGGCCTGTAATCACAAAACAATTCAGAATATAAATTCATCAATTCGTAAAAGAGTGATTCTGAATCTGACTATAGCCTGGCAAAATGATTAATACGAATATGATTAGTTAATCATGCTTTCAATACTGTACGCCCGGTATTATTCGCGAGCTTTAATTTCGCGAATTTTGCGAAAACACGGTTTCGCGGCTATTAAATTTCGCGAATTTCACAAGTTCAGAAGTGCGTGCCGGGCTATGTTTGCCCTTTCTGCGTCGTTGTACACTTTATATGTTCCACGCTTGGACTTCATGTCATTTTTAGCAATTTGAACTTCAGTTTCTATAATATCGTCGATGTCATTATTGAGCCTAGGCCCATTGGTAGTAGTTGGCCTGACTAGCCAACGTAAAATAGACATGTTGGTGGAAATCATCCAATTATCGCCCAATAACACTAGACGAAACGTTTTACACAAAACGAAATGCATTTTGTAGTTCTTCTTACAGATGTAGGAATGGAGGGATCAGAAGTTGACGAAATGCATCAGAGCCCCGGGTAAAAACAAATTCCCGGGGATTTAATTGGCAATTTCGCGACGATAATTTTTCGCGATTTTAACACCATCGCGAAAAGCGCGAAAGTTAATCGCACGCGAATAATACCGGGCGTACAGTAAACTAAATTTAACAGTGTTATGCAGCTCGATGCCTTACTTGTTTCTTCAGATTCTATTGTCACTGGTTGCCCTATGACCCCTGCACATGACCCCATGTCTCCAGTCAGCTCAGTTCCATCATCCAATAGAATTGTCACTGAAAAAAATAAAGCTATTGCTTTAAAATGTCACTTATAGTTGTATTAACTATAGTAAATAAATCAGAAGTCGATTTTCCATCACCACTTCCAAACCTTGGTGGTGAAAGCCCAGTCTCAGATACTGTCTAAATACATGTACATTTTCCCTAAAATTTGTATATTTTACATTTTGTCTACTCTCGTATGGCCTCTTGAAAATTCTCTTATTTTAAACATGGGAAATCCTCATTTCAGCAAATCCACTAATCATTTATTTACAGTAGATATATATTAGCTAGAACAGGTAAAATTAGAATTTAGCATATTGTTGAGGAAAACAAAATAACCTTTAAGGTCAGGGTGCATTTTCGGAATTTTGCTGCAACCCTCAACAGGGTCACATGTTATTTTTCAAATTTGAAACACTCCTTCCCCACAATGTCTACATCTCTCACTTTTGCACAACGAGTGCACTAATGTACCTAGAAAAGAATGTAAAGAAGAATATTTTGATAAATGTATAAAAACAAGAAAATTCAGTGAACAAATTTTCTGAATTTTTTCACTGAATTTTCTCGTTTTTTATACATTTTACAAAACAAATCTTCTCACCAGTCTTTTCTAGGCACATAAGTGCACTCTTTGTGCAAAACTGGAAGATGTAGACAATGTGGGGAAGGAGTGATTCCTGGTTGAAAAATAACATGTGACTCAATTGAGGAATGCAGAAAAATTCTGAACATGCACCATGGCCTTAAAAACGGCACTTACCTCCTGTTAGAGTATTCCCTTTATCATCAAGTGCCTCAGTCATCGTAGAGCTTCCTTCTCTAGGGGGTCCAGTTTCATCCATAGAACCAAACTCCATATTTTGAAGTGATGTAGTTTCTTCCTCCGACATGTTTCTGCAAGTTTTGCACCAATAACTGAAGATGAAGGTAAGACAATTAATTAGTCAAATAATTCATGTGGTCTGCATATGAACAAGAGACTTTCAGGCCCGTAGCTAGCTTTTGGCAAGGGGGTTCACTTTTGAAAAATTTCCAGTGGGGGTTCCCCAAAAAAGGTCAAAAACACTTGAAAAATTCTTAAATGACAAACTGCATGCATTTGATAGAATATTCGTCCGGGGTGGGGGGGGGGACTCGCACAAAAAGAGAAAACTGATCCACTTTATATGATTAGACCATGGAGAACAATAACAATGAACAAACTACTAGAATATAATAAATGCTTGTTTTGATGTTGGTTAAAGTCCATTTCACTGCTTCATTTTGTCAGTAGAACGGCAAAAATAAGAAATTGGGAGACCATTGTGCAAAAATTAGTACCGTGGGTACTTGGCTCACATGGTATAATTTTTTGCTGATTTTTTGTTTCAAAATTATTTCAAGCCATCTGTCTCTCAGTCAATTAAAATGGCTGAAAAAAAAATGGATATAATTTTTTGCCAATAATTTGTAACAAAATTATTTCATACAACTACTCTTTACAGTGACATGGCTTTTTGCAATGCAAGACACCTGAAATTATTTGTAAAGCTAGGAAATGGGCCAAAATTGAATTTCGCGAGACAAAAATGGCGACCATTTTGAAATCAGGCAAGCTTTTGAACCAGGAGTCATAGGGGAGTTTTTTGTATTGATGTTGAACAAAAATAACTTGAAACTGGAATCCTATCGACAGAGGGTTTAAGGTAAATGGTCCAAAAGTGGATTTTGCGAGACAGACGGACAAATCAATGTTAACTAAAATGGCTGAAAATAAATAAATGGATATAATTTTTCGCTGATTTTTTGTAACAAAATTATTTCATACATCTACTCTTTACATTGACATGGATTTTTACAATGTAGGACACTTGATATTATTTGTAAAGCTAGGAAATGGGTCAAAAGTGAATTTCGCGAGACAAAAATGGCGGCCATTTTGAAAATAGGCGAGCTTTTGAACCAGGAGTCATATGGGAGTTTTCTGAATTGATGTTGAACAGAAATAACTTAAAACAGGAATCCTATCAACAGAGGTTTTAAAACGTGCCACAGAAAGTGGATTTCGCGAGTCAGATAGACAAATCAATGTTAACTAAAATGGCTGAAAATAAAAAATGGATACAATTTTTCGCTGATTTTTTGTAACAAAATTATTTCATATATCTACCCTTTACATTGACATGGATTTTTACAATGTAGGACACCTGAAATTATTTGTAAAGCTAGGAAATGGGTCAAAAGTGAATTTCGCGAGACAAAAGTGACGGCCATTTTGAAAATAGCCGAGCTTTTGAACCAAGAGTCATAGGAGAGTTTTTTGTATTGATGTTGAACAAAAATAACTTAAAATGGGAATCCTATCGACAGAGGGTTTAAGGTAAATGGTCCAAAAGTGAATTTTGCGAGACAGATGGACAAATCAATGTTAACTAAAATGGCAGAAAATAAATAAATGGATATAATTTTTCGCTGATTTTTCGTAACAAAATTATTTCATACTTCTACTCTTTACTTTGCAATGGATTTCTACAATGTAGGACACTTGAAATTATTTGTAAAGCTAGGAAATGGAAATGGTCAATAGTGAATTTCGCGAGACAAAAATGGCGGCCATTTTGAAAATAGGCGAGCTTTTGAACCAGGAGTCATAGGGGAGTTTTCTGAATTCATGTTGAACAGAAATAACTTAAAACAGGAATCCTATCGACAGAGGTTTTAAAACATGCCACTGTTATTGACAGAAAGTGGATTTCGCGAGTCAGATAGACAAATCAATGTTAACTAAAATGGCTGAAAATAAAAAAATGGATACAATTTTTCGCTGATTTTTTGTAACAAAATTATTTCATATATCTAATCTTTACATTGACATGGATTTTTACAATGTAGGACACCTGAAATTATTTGTAAAGCTAGGAAATGGGCCAAAAGTGAATTTTGCGAGACAAAAGTGACGGCCATTTTGAAAATAGGCGAGCTTTTGAACCAGGAGTCATAGGGGGGTTTTCTGTATTGATGTTGAACAGAAATAATTTAAAACAGGAATCCTATCGACAGAGGTTAGCTAGGAAATGGGCTAAAAGTGAATTTCGCGAGACAAAAGTGACAGCCATTTTGAAAATAGGCGAGCTTTTATACCAGGAGTCATAGGGGGGTTTTCTGTATTGATGTTGAACAGAAATAACTTAAAACAGGAATCCTATCGACAGAGGTTTTAAAACGTGCCACTATTGTTGACGGACAGACGGACGGACAGACGGACGGACGGACAGACGGACAAGTGAGTGATTGCAAAAGCTCACCATGTGAGCTAATAATACATGGAAAAGTATATTCATAATGTACATGAATGACATTTGTATATTTCAGATTTTTTAGTTTTTTGTGCATTAAACCTGTCACCTCTCTTATAATTTGAAGAATTTCAGCAATGTTAATCTTATTGAAAATAACATGGCAGAGAAGCATCCAAATATAAGAGGCCACACACTTTATAAGCCAAACTAGAAGCAATCCAAGATATACAAATGTCATTCATGTACAATAGGAATATATTTTTCCATATATTATTGCAAAATGATATTTTGATTTCTTATTTTTTAGTTTTTACTGATGCAGTTAAACAGTGAAATGGACTCTAGTTAACATGTTAATGACGTCAGATATTAATTGACAATCAACAGTGATATGTGATGTTATTATTATGTGTTTGTCTATAGTTGCTTGATGGGGTAAATATGTGACTGACATCATAATTTATGTGATACGCTATATCTTCGAATCACATCATTGGATGACTTGGCAGTTGCCACAATGATCTACTAGTGGTGGGACTCGCCCAAATTTTCCTACGAGATAATCGGGAGCAAACTGACGACGATTAATCGAATAAGTTCGATTTTTTCCCAAATCTTTGAATGATGGTCATATCAGGCTTTAACATTACCACGGTCATGACAGGCCTTGCAATATAATACAACGTTGCCACGGTTATACCAGGCTACACGATAACACTACCACAGTCATGGCAGGCATTGCAATATAATACAACGTTGTCACGGTTATACCAGGCTTACACGATAACACTACCACGCTCATGGCAGGATCCTTGCGCTACTTAAAAACACTGGATAACATGGTGACGGTTACGCAAGGCATAAGTCTTGCAGTAGATAGGGTCTCCTAAAATGTGTATATTTTACATTTTGTATAATCCCATCCACTGATGTATGGCCTCTTGAAAATTCTCTTATTTTTACATGGGAAATCCCCACTTCAGCAAATCCACCTGTCGTGTCATTTATTTATGTTCAAATCTGTATCATTCATGTTGCGGAACTTCTTCAAAATCAAGGAAAAATTTACTCACTTCGAGAGCCATGTTAGATTTTGGAACTTATGGCTCTCAAACGGAGAAGTGAACAGCTGATCAATAGTGACCTTTGAAATTGAATTAAGTCGATCCGCGGCTTACTTTTGGTCTCTAACTGTGTCTTACATCAGTATCATCAATCCGTGTAAGTATTGGAGCGCTGGAGTACTTCTTTTTCGATCAAGACTTGTAAATTGTTCATCGAGTTAAAGTTTTACAGACCTATTTCCAATATGGCGGTGCGAGATACTAGTGGAGCAACGATTGACTCGTGGACTCGAATACTACTCGCCAAACCCTGTAAATACGATTCATCGATTGGTAAATTCTGACTCGAATTGAAAAAAAAATGAAAAAATGATGAAGAAAATGTGATTTACCCACCTTTCAACCGCAATTTACGTAAAAAAAACACATCCAATGTACAACATTTCTGTACAATGTTTAACAATGATGCCTTCCTTACTATATAGCATTGTAGTTTGATACCTTAACTGAAATAATAAATCAAATACGATAGGCTTTCTCGTGTTTGTTTTTATTTATTGATTACATCCGGTTGCGCATGTGCAATGCAATATTTAACGAGGTCAAACCAATTAGCGTAAATTGCTAAATTATTTACTTTTCAATGCAAAACAAGAACATATAAAGTGTATTGAGTTATTCTATTTGAATAATTTGATGGGTATGTTGGAGTTATTCAAGGTAGGTTGAGCCGAGAACACTTGAAAACATTGCTACCGGAAGTGAAAGTTTGTAACTTTCCGAAGAAAGTTTTTCTGAACTTTTTTCCAAAATCATTCATTTTAATCGCGAATAAATCGAGTGTTCAAGAGCCTCTACTCGAGTAGGATAATTCACACGAGTCCCACCACTACGAGATACGCAACGAACGAAATGAATTTTGAGAATTAGTTAGGTTCGGACAACCTCCGGAGATTTACGAAAATGTCCGAGCAGAAACCGCCATATTGGAATTTGGCAGTAAAACGATTCCGTCGACTAACAATTACAAGTCTTGATCGAAAAAGAAGTACTCCAGCGCTCCAATACTTACACGGATTGATGATACTGATGTAAGACACAGTTAGAGACCAAAAGTAAGCCGCGGATCGACTTAATTCGATTTCAAAGGTCACGATCATTGAGCTGTCCAAATGCTCCGTGGGAAAGCTATTATATCAAAATCCAAATAGCTTTCGCAGGAAGTAAGGAAAAATGATCAAAACAGAGGAAGTATTATGGGTGATAATCTTACTTCTATGCAGCTTCCTAAGGAACATTATGATAAAAGGCATCACAAATATATGTAAGGAATCTGTGAGAATGTCAAAAATGTTTTGAAAGTGGCTAAATTTAATGAAAACGAGTCACAAACCTCGAAATCAAACTCTCAACCTCGATTCCAAGATGGCGGCGAAAGGGAGGCTAAGTAGTCTCAGATCGACAAAATTCCTAACTCATTTGACAAAATCAGAAATATTTCACAAGAAAAAAGTTTCCAACATATCATATTAAACGTTTTGTATATTTATGAATATAAACTATTGTTAAAAGATGGATTTAATGTCATATAATTCATTTTACAATTTAGGATGACGAGACTAGGGCACCTGCTCATCTGATCCCCGAATCATTTTGTTATTCTCCCAATAATCCATTTTACCATTCATTTATTACAAATATCTAGATACATATCAAGACTCATTGAAAAAGATTTTTTGATGTTATTTCTTATTCAAATTATCGCGTAGTGCTCTAATTTTGTCCCTCGGTCATTTATGTATCCAGTTCCACATTATACTTTGACAGGTGCATCAAAATAATTTGTAATAAAAAGTTCCTGAAAATTTTCTCCAGTTTTGCCTATTTTAGAAGCATTAAAGTCCAAAATACACGTATGTTAAAAGGCGGAGATAAGGTAGAGTAGTAGAAAGTGTTTCTATGGACCATCACTATACATGTATCGCTTATCTAACCTATTAAACAAATTAAGTCACACTGTTCACTTATTATCGCTCAAGTTTTTAATTTTATGAAGATAAATGATCAGTAAATATAATGTACTGTAATTGTATAACTTTGCTTTAGTGAATGTTATAAATTTCATCACCAATGTTTTTTCTGTATTCAGGTCGATGGGTCAAATGTTGCTCTTCATTTGTTTTCAGATTTGGCCCACTCGAATTGATTCAGCTATTGACGATTGGGAGAATATCGCATTTTCATGATCAAACTGACCAATCTCGTCTTATGGAATTAAGCTAGGCAAAAAAAGAATTTTCGAAAAAGTTCATTTAGTTACCATAATGTTACGAAATATAGGCATTAGAATTCGGACCAATATCTGCAATAGATGTCTAAAAAACATTGGCATCGAGAGACTTTACCACAACCCTGGATCATATTCATCTCAAGAATTGACAAATCAGAAACATAAAAAGAGTTTATTTCATCTCAGATTGTCTACCAATAACCAGCGACTAATTAGTTTTTGGGGAGCCTCTACTGCAAATGACTGGTCTAAAGCTATCTCAGATGCTGAGAAAATTGTCGGTTATCCAACATCATTTATGAGTTTAAGATGTCTGCTCAGTGACGAACTATCAAATATAGCTGTTCAGATGAGAAAATTAGTGGGAACAAAACACCCTCTCCTAAAAACAGCGAGGTAAGATGTGTAGTGCTCTTATATAATGATCTTGTTGTTATGGGCACTAGCGGATCCTGAGAGGGTTGAGAAAGAGGCAGGCTATCCCCCTTCGGATGGGACAAAGCCTTCCATGACCTTCCTTCAAAAACTCAATCCAGCCAATGCTTTGAATATAGAAATCAATATACACTAATAATTGTATTAAACAATTCAGAATTCAAAATGTGAATAGTTATAATCACTGTTAAATCAATGTTAAATTGTGCATTTTATCAAGTTATGTTTACTTTAACAGGGGTTTTGTATATGATGGTAAACACACAATGCAGACCAGGGGCCTAGTTGTTTTGTTAATTTCTAAAGCAGCAGTTGGCACAGAAGTTCCCAGTGAACAGGAACTAATTGCAGGAATACATCCCAAGTAAGTTACATTGATGGCCTCTCTCATAAATTTTGGTTAGTATTTGGTACAGGCCTCCCTCCCTAAACCCTATCCTTCTTAAATTATGGTCATCCACTGACAATGAATGTCTTACATAAAACCATTTAAAAAAGAGCCTTGTATCATATGTATGGCAGTATTATTTCTGTAACACTCTATTTTACTTGCTGCTACTTTAGCATATGTCATGTCATTCAATACAATATCTCAAACAATACCCTCTAGTCTAAGTTGTGCTTTGAATTATATTGTCTATATGTCTATTCAAAGGCTCTTCTCACATCGTTACTCTACTCAAATTGTCACTCCGACTACTCTCATTTTTACTGTACTCACATTGCTACTCTACTCGCATTGTTACTCTACTCAAATTGTTACTCTACTCACATTGTTACTCTACTCAAATTGTTGTAGGCAAAGACAACTAGCTGAAATCTCTGAGATGATCTACACTGCTAATTTAATCCATAAAGGAGTTATAGATGTCAGTGATATGTCCGCAGAAGACGGCTGCCAAAAGGATTTGGAATTTGGAAACAAGATGGCTGTACTCAGTGGTGATTTCCTATTGGCTAGTGCTAGTATGGGACTAGCTGAGCTCCATAATACAAAGGTGAATTGTATTCAGAATTTGAAGTTCTACTTTGAAGTAAATGGCAATTCAGGGTTGGCTTAATATCATGCACACATTAATTTTTATTCAAGAGGGGCTTTAAAACTCAAGAGCTATCTTGTTCAAGAATGACTAAATGTTCTTTTTTCTGAAATTATCTTTTATAAAGTGACAATATCTGTTTAAATATAAGTTAATTCATGAATTTACATAACCAAATTCATAGACAATGAATTTTATCTTTCTTGAATTCTTAGTTTTCTAGATACAATATGTACATGTCAATATTTCTTTTTGCTTGTAAAATCCACTAATTTTACGTTATTTGGCTGTAATAACAACAATTTTGTCACTATCCAAGTGTCAATATATTATGAAATAATTTAATTTGTGATTATTTTAGGTTGTTGAAATCGTATCTGGTGCCATTGGTGATTTGATGCGAGCAGAATTCACTGAATTATGTAGCCCTCGAGGTACCCCTTCCCTTACCTCATCAACAACTTACCAGGACTGGGAAACCCAGACATTTTTGTCCTCAGGGAGTCTCTTGGCAAAGTGTTGTCAGTCCACGTTGGAATTAGCAGGGCACTGTAAAGAGATGCAAGATAAGGCATTTCAGTATGGGAAACATTTAGCTTTTGCTCATCAGGTAAGCCTATGCTTTAAAAGATGTCACTCATGTCTTTCACAATGAAGCACCTAATGACAAGTACATTACTGTTATGTTATAAATACAGACTAATAAGCAACCGGTTATTAGACATACATAGATGAAGGTCAATCTGGACTTTTTTGAAACAAGAGTATGTTACGACTCAGAAAATCATTAATTATCGATTGTCAATTTATTCAAGCATTCAATAGGCCTATCAATATGTTATTTTTACTTCGAAAAGTTTGATTTTTCCTTTTAGGAAGTAACATATCAGGAAAGAATCATTGAAATTTTAAAGGGCAATAATGCATACCAGTGTCCTGTAAACCAAGAGGAAATGGGAGGTTTTTTACTTTCTAAAAATATTTATTTCAATTAAATTGTCATTTTGATTTCAGTTACATGAAGACTTGCAACCATTCACACATCCCACTGATGAAAACGGAGACCAGATTAGCCTCGGCTCAGCCCCTGTCATTCTACATTACAGCAAACCAGAGAATAAACCCCACCTTAATAGACTACTAGACAGCCATGTTGACCAGAAAAAGGTAAAGTGTCGTGTATAGTGTATTTAGAGTTGTTTTATTGTGTGTCATTTGACAGTTTGAGGCTGAATTGAATAGTAAATTTTCACCCAACTAATCTCAATTTGGTAACATATATTTGGAAATGAGGCACATGTAATTAAGTAATGCCAGTCTGACTGAAAGGCATACTTTGCAAAATAATTGACTAAATATCGTTTTGCCTTATGCAATGTACAAACAAACGCAGAGATGTGCTAGTGCTATTATATTTGTTTGTCACAATGTGTTTATATGATGTCGTCATATTCAAATATTACAAAGTTAAGATTTTACTATCTCAAATTTATTTGATTCCTAGCATTGGATTGAGCATTTTGAGTGTCTACTTTAGTTATATTCTCAGGATCTTTATTTCAGTTACGAGATACTATACTATCAGGAACTGCTGTTGAAGAAACAAAGAGACATTGTAAGGAGAATGGAAAAATTGCCATAAATGCGATTGAAAGTTTTCCTTCTTCTGAGGCAAAAACTGCTCTAGAGAATATGATAAATGCAGTAACAAATAACTCAAGGTGACGTGAGAATTATTAGCCAAGTAACTTGAGAATTATTAGCCAAGTGATGTGAGACTAATAAGCCAAGTGATATGAGAATGTGAATTATTTGCTGTGTGATGACTTTTTGGACGAGTGATATTTGAAATTACAGAAAATTGTTTTAATATTTTGATGAATTAATGTTCAAAATATGCAAAGTCGACATAAAATGTTCATCGGAGCTACATAAATAGGGGAAATGACATATTCATCAATATTCCAACTGTGTCTTTGACTGGGACATGAAGTGCTAAAATCAATACAGTGGCAGTTCCACACACAAAATGAATAAAAAATAAGTGAAAATATATGGAATGTATTTTGATGAAATAAAATATACAGTATGATAATGTTCATATGGAGTACAAATTAAATTAATGTTTATTAAATCCATAAATCGGTAGGAGGATTAGCTCCCAGCATTCTAAATTCACGTTCTTCTTTTGACTGGCATGGAACAGTAATATCATTACAAATTTATTATTAGTCCTCCTCAATCAAGCGAAGATTAGGAAGGGTTCTTTCTTTTCAATACTTCTCGGTTATATTTATATCGTTTTCGCCTATAAATCGATAATATCTACATAATATACATCTGGTGTTCACAGCTGTCAGCTCTCAATTTACAATGTCTCTTTTTACAATACAACAATATACAATATTGTATAATACAACCAGCTCGTCTCCTTCAGGTATCTTGCCCTCATAAAGATAACTTGGTTCCCTCCTGCCAAACTCTTTAACACAGCTTACTCTTAAGCCAAGGCTTGCTTTTTCATATTAGCTTGCCTAAACTGGTTATTCATTTCCTCAAGGTACTTTCAGTATATCCTTCAAAATTCCCCATGTTCCTCCTTCAGATTACTTATGAGGGTTGTTTGTTATACTTGTTTGATTGCTTTTGAGATACATATATACTCAAAATATACAATCCTTAGAGGTAACTAGCTCGTCTACTTCCCCGTTGTATTACTTGTAAGTTATGTGTTTCATTAACTAGCTCCCAATGTTGCTTATCAAGAAGTTTCACATTTTGTAACCAGGCCTTAACTTTAGGGAATTGTTTAAAGTCATAGCTGACCAAGTCCAACATTGTTACAATCATTGCAACGTAGTGGTCTACAAACAATGCTGCAATACAAGAAAATATAGAATTATTTTATGCAGTCTTACGTGCAATAATGATTATAAACAAATGTTAGAAAAACATGTATTTCCATGTAACCAATTTTAAACGAAATTTTGAGTTAAATAGACAGGAAATAATATCCAAAAATAAAAGAGTTATTCTGCCCACTCAGTTTATCATCAACTAGTTCGAGGAGAGACAATAGCAGCTGATCGTTTTTTCAAGTTAATTTTGAACACCTACGCTCATTTCCTGTGATGTATTTATGGTTCTGTAGATACTGCGTCTCCATGGCATTGAGATGCTCACGTACTTCCGTCTTAGCCAGGTGAGAAAGCTCCTTATTGGTCAACAAATCTTCAAATTCCTGGCGAGCTACTTTAGGGTTAACGTAATTGGTGATCACACTCCTGAAAATTTTGGTATTAATTAATTTATGTCCTCATTATAAGATAAACCAACGATTTAAGATTTCATGAGACATGTTAAGAATCGAAATGTAATTTTTCACTTCATGGATGTTTTTTACAATTGTATAATACGAGGGTTGATCAATAAGTCTCAATACAGTAAAACCTGTGTAAATTGAAATTTCTTTGCCAAGAAAAAACGTTCGGCGTGTGTAGGTGTTCACTAGTCTACAGAAGGCTAATACAGAAGTCAGTACAGTATATACGGAGGAAATATGTCCACTTGAGACAGGTGTTCCCAAGAAAGAGGTGTTAACTAAGACTTTTAAGTTTTACTGTGAATATTAATTGTTATTACCTGTAAAGTGATGCAGCAGCCCAGTTCATTATCGACTCCGCCTTATATTTCACCTTGTTATTGGCTCCCATACCATGACCATTGGTGTACCTCTCTGATAGATAGTACAACACTGCAGGGCTGCACAAATAAACAAACAAGATTATTTTCAGAGAACAAATACATGGAGATTTCTCTTCGTGTAGTTTGTTCAAATTCATTACAATAATTTCTCATTTTGTTTGGTTCAATGGTTTGTGGCAGTTGTGAGTTATTAAGTTCACATACTGGTAAATCAGTTCAAAGTCATTTTAAAAATATACCTTGTTGCAGGGATTGCAGGAATGCAGAGATGCCGTTGTTTTGTGAGGTGTTATTAATGAAAGTTGACCTACTTTTCAAAGACTACAACATAGCCGTCAGACAATGTTGGGGTTGAGCCATGGGGATTGCAGGAATGCAGAGATGCCGTTGTTTTGTGAGGTGTTATTAATGAAGTTGACCTACTTTTCAAAGACTACAACATCGCCATCAGACAATGTTGGGGTTGATCCATGGGGATTGCAGGAATGCAGAGATGCTGTTGTTTTGTGAGGTGTTATTAATGAAAGTTGACCTACTTTTCAAAGACTACAACATCGCCGTCAGACAATGTTGGGGTTGAGCCATGGGGATTGCAGGAATGCAAAGATGCCGTTGTTTTGTGAGGTGTTATTAATGAAAGTTGACCTACTTTTCAAAGACTACAACATCGCCGTCAGACATTGTTGGGGTTGAGCCATGGGGATTGCAGGAATGCAGAGATGCTGTTGTTTTGTGAGGTGTTATTAAAGGCCCCATATAAAGTTTAAACCACTTTGGCTTATATTGTAGTCTTACCCAATGTTATCAAAGTGTGATATGTGAAACTTTTTTTTTAAATTTCAAAAAGTGGTTTTTGATAGACTTTTTGTTCCAAAATTTGTGAATTTATTTAAAACCAACTTTAAAAGGTCACTCATATCTTCTAATTAGCCAAAATTCATACCAATGCATAGCATTTATCCTCCCGTGTTTTTTGCCGAAAAAATTAAGAAAATCGGTTCATAAATAAGCGAGAAATGAACTTATCAGTGCATGAAAATGGTTCTGAGAAAAATGCATTTCAAAATTTTAGTTCTCATAGAAACCAATGGTACAATGATATCTAAAACATAATTTATTCTTCCTTTTAACCTGGTTAGACAATCAACATTGGTTTTTATGAAAGTCTAACATATTTAGAAAAGATTGACATAGAAAAAAAAAGTTCAATTTTTTTCAAAAAGTTTTTGGTACCTTAGTGACATCACTAATGTTTCAAAATATTTTTTATATGCTAAAACATTGAAGTGGCCCATTAAATATGGCATTTTATTATTGAAATAGTGTGTCCTTTGTTCAACCTTTGCATTTGTGTTAAAAAGATAATCTTTTTTGAAATGCATTAAGAAATATTTGATGATTAAGAAATTTCAACTTTTTTGGAAAAATGGCGGGAAATTTGAATATTTGAGAAATGAAATGCTCACAACTTTTTTTTCAAAAAATTTTTTTTGTTCAAAAATCTCTAAAATCACTTTTTAAGTCCTGACAAATAGTAAATGAATGATAAAAAAATATTTTCAAACTTTAGACGGGGACTTTAATGAAATTTGACCTACTCTTCAAAGACTACAACATCGTTGTCAGACAATGTTGGGGTTGAGCCATGGGGATTGCAGGAATGCAGAGATGCCGTTGCTTTGTGAGGTGTTATTAATGAAAGTTGACCTTTTTTTCAAAGACTACAACATCGCCGTCAGACAATGTTGGGGTTGAGCCATGGGGATTGCAGGAATGCAGAGATGCCATTGTTTTGTGAGATGTTATTAATGAAATTTGACCTACTTTTCAAAGACTACAACATCGCCGTCAGACAATGTTGGGGTTGAGCCATGGGGATTGCAGGAATGCAGAGATGCCATTGTTTTGTGAGGTGTTATTAATGAAAGTTGACCTACTTTTCAAAGACTACAACATCGCCGTCAGACAATGTTGGGGTTGAGCCATGGGGATTGCAGGAATGCAGAGATGCCGTTGTTTTGTGAGGTGTTATTAATGAAAGTTGACCTACTTTTCAAAGACTAATACATCGCTGTCAGACAATGTTGGGGTTGAGCCATGGGGATTGCAGGAATGCAGAGATGCCGTTGTTTTGTGAGGTGTTATTAATGAAAGTTGACCTACTTTTCAAAGACTACTACATCGCTGTCAGACAATGTTGGGGTTGAGCCATGGGGATTGCAGGAATGCAGAGATGCCGTTGTTTTGTGAGGTGTTATTAATGAAAGTTGACCTACTTTCAAAGACTACAACATCGCCGTCAGACAATGTTGGGGTTGAGCCATGGGGATTGCAGGAATGCAGAGATGCCGTTGTTTTGTGAGGTGTTATTAATGAAAGTTGACCTACTTTTCAAAGACTACTACATCGCTGTCAGACAATGTTGGGGTTGAGCCATGGGGATTGCAGGAATGCAGAGATGCTGTTGTTTCAGCTGCTCCGTCATCAACATCAACTATCTCGTGTGTTATATTATTCTACAATGCATGTATGGGAAATATATAGGAATACGGAATATATAGTGTCGTCCTTGAAGCCTCTTGATTTCGTGCTCACAATGATTAAGGATACCTTTAATGAACAAAAACCAACAAACCCCATCAAAATCTAGGAAAAATGTTGTGACATGTATGAATACCCATTTTCATTTGTGACATTTTGAGAAGGAAAACAAAAATAACCAATTTTTTCATTCAAGAGATGTTCAGGACCTTATAAATGTATAACGAGAAATCAGACCTCGCTCTTAAGTTACTGAAGTTTTCTTTAAATTGAAAAATGTGTTATCGTTTAAATATCTCAGGTATATGATACAATAAATATGTAGGTTTAAAATACATAATTAATTTGAAATTGTCATGTCCTTATTTCTCTGTTATTTCCTTTGAAAACTAATGTCAATAAATTAACGTTATTCGATTATAATGTAGTTGGCAAGTCATCATTTAATTCATTGTGTTCGGGTAAATCTAATCTCTGCTACAGGATTGAACTGTCGCTGTTTGAAGTGTCCAGTCCACAGATCAATTGGCGTAAATTACCATTGCCATGGAGATTATCTCATCATTAATATTAACAAACAAAGAAATTATGGTCGAATAGTTTGAACTATTGATGTTTATGACACTTCTGGTATCTGAATTCTGAACAGAAGTAGTAAATGATCGTGTTTCAAACTATTTTTCTCTGAACTAGCCGAGATTCAAGATAAGTTTATGCACTTTAATTATTTCCCTAATTTGTTTATTAACAAAAGCAACTAAATGGGATGAGGATGAGGTATTTCACTTATCAAAAATAGTCCATCAGTTCAGACTTCATGTTAGGATAATCCTTCGATTTTAACGTTATCAAGCACAAAAAGAAAACGGGATATGATATCCCACTTTTAATAAAGGAGGAGGGAAAGTATCGCAACAGATTTTGGACAGTCATATGTTGAATTTTGGCTATTTTCTGAGGATTTAAACAGGTGCATATGTTAGACCAATGCATTACCTCCAGGAAAAGCACTCCTAGAGATGATAAAATAATTTCGACTTTGAGACAGGGAAGATGCAAACAATCCACCCACATGTTTCTTCTGAAATGTTTTCCTGATTTTCAAACCCTTCCACCCCTGAAATTCCACCCCTTCCACCCAACCAATTTTTCTTGCATCAATATGTTGTGTTTTGACACAAAGTTAACCCCATTAAAGGAATAAGTGATTCCTTCGGAGGTTTTAAAGATATCCATTATGGGTGACCAAAATTAACTGAAAGCAATGGATTGCATGAGTTTTCCCTATGGAAAAATAAAATGGGAAATATTGTTTTCGACTTAAACTAAAGGAATCACTTATTCCTTTAAAGGGATTATCTGTGTGTCAAAACACAACATATTGATGCAATCTACCTCCTCCTTTAGTTACTTTAGCATACTTATTTAGATTTCTTTTTTTTCAGAAAATAAAAAGAGGGAAACAAAACTCCCAACATTAAATGTATAACCTCTACTTCTTCCAATGTTCCCAATCATGAACCATTTTATTCTTCCATTTTCAAAAATAGAAAAATATTGAATTCCATGTTTTGACATAAACGTTACTTACCTGTAAAAGATACAGCCATACTATCCTACATTGTGGATTGCGTTTGCTGAGGTACAAGACAGGACAGTTCGCCTTAATCTCTAAGTCTTCCCGCCTTGGAGGAATGAGGGCACTGGAGCGACGTCTTTGTATCGCAGCCTCCAACGTTACCCTAAAACAATAGAATTTTCAGGATTTTATTAATACACGTTATTAATACACGTTAATAATTATATTAAACGGTTCCGCTTTAAGTGGTGAAAGAGGGAGTATTGTAATTGAATAGAAATAATTTTATCTTGTATCATAAATCACTGTTTTGCCACAATTTTCAGAACCACTTTAAAGGTAAATACTTGGCTGACTGGAGATTGTAACAGGCTACACCATTCTTTTGATTTTGCATGAGGTAAATGAATTGAATTCACACATAGCTAGGCAACTGGTGTGTCCGATTCCAGCCAATCCGAACACAGTATTTCATATAACTGCAGTGCATTATATCACAAATCACCGAATATTTTGCAATGTGTCAAAATAATTTAAGCCCAAGACTCGGTGCAAATGTGAAATGACCATTCCTTTCAGGCATTGTTTCCTTGAGTTAACACTTAATGCTGCGCATCTCTTGCAAATTTTGGAAAGCAAGACCTTCACGGAATAATAATATCTTGGCACCAGTCTGCCCTTGTGGTATATGTAAAAAATTAGCGGATTTGCGATTTTCTTGGAATTTTGATGACAAGATTTATATGCCGTCCACCGGACCATACACCCGCCAGCCCAGCAGCACAAGGTAACGACGACGACAACATAAAACTTTCTCAAAGTGCGATAAAAGGGAATCGTTTTGAAAATGCTATAGATCTTTGTGAATTTACCTATCCATAAAACTTGATTTTCTCCTATTCATGGCTGCAGACTTGAACCACACCGGTGGCTCCATGGGTTCATCATCAATAGATAGAATTTTCAGGATTTTATTAATACACGTTATTAATACACGTTAATAATTATATTAAACGGTTCCGCTTTAAGTGGTGAAAGAGGGAGTATTGTAATTGAATAGAAATAATTTTATCTTGTATCGTAAATCACTGTTTTGCCACAATTTTCAGAACCACTTTAAAGGTAAATACTTGGCTGACTGGAGATTGTAACAGGCTATACCATTCTTTTGATTTTGCATGAGGTAAATGAATTGAATTCACACATAGCTAGGCAACTGGTGTGTCCGATTCCAGCCAATCCGAACACAGTATTTCATATAACTGCAGTGCATTATATCACAAATCACCGAATATTTTGCAATGTGTCAAAATAATTTAAGCCCAAGACTCGGTGCAAATGTGAAATGACCATTCCTTTCAGGCATTGTTTCCTTGAGTTAACACTTAATGCTGCGCATCTCTTGCAAATTTTGGAAAGCAAGACCTTCACGGAATAATAATATCTTGGCACCAGTCTGCCCTTGTGGTATATGTAAAAAATTAGCGGATTTGCGATTTTCTTGGAATTTTGATGACAAGATTTATATGCCGTCCACCGGACCATACACCCGCCAGCCCAGCAGCACAAGGTAACGACGACGACAACATAAAACTTTCTCAAAGTGCGATAAAAGGGAATCGTTTTGAAAATGCTATAGATCTTTGTGAATTTACCTATCCATAAAACTTGATTTTCTCCTATTCATGGCTGCAGACTTGAACCACACCGGTGGCTCCATGGGTTCATCATCTGACTCATGATCAGACATGTTGACAAAACCTGACCTATTGTTCGTTTTTGAAGCAGTTTTTGAATTCCAAAGTAACCGTTGTAATTGTTTTAAGCTTTGTCTGGAATAAACTTTGTAATTCTCAAGCAATGTCTTCAGCTACTAGTATCTATGTAATTCTTAATTACTGTAGTATTGGGCCTGGGGTGATCTTTGTAATTCTCAAGCAATGTCCGGAACTATCTTTGTAATTCTCTAGAATTCTTTCATCTAGGTGATTCGTGTGTATTGTCTTGAATAATCTTTGTAATTCTCCAGCAATTGCCGAAACAATCTTTGTAATTCTCAAGCTATCTTAACAATACTTTTAATTGCTTTAATTTGCAATCGTGTTAATTCAACGATCCAACAATTCGGTACAAATTCTCTAAATATCAAATGGTATTTTGATTTATTTCCCCAAAATCCACGCCTATTTTTAAACAGACGGACTTGTGTTCCGAAAAAAAGTATCCAGCAGTTTTACCAACGCTCAAATATCCTTGATAATTTCAGAAAGACAAGCAAAACACAGTTCCAGCTTTTTGTAAAACTGTCCTTGTGAACTTTTTCAGGAGATTTGGTCAAATTGTCCTCAATGGTTTCTTAATGTTTTATATCATGCCAAAGACCTCCGTCGTGTTACTTGATCATGGAACTAGTGTCAATTTTGTTATGGGTGATACTTTTGTTTTATTTAGTTATAAGGTTAAGATACTCGATGCTGCAAATCAGTTGTACTTTTTATCAATTGAAAGTCTTGATCTTCTATAAACGTTCTATTGGGTCTCCAGACCTTTTATCAAACAAACTAAATTGAAACTCTTTATAAGTTATTAACTCTGGATTGAATCCCGTGCAATTACAATAATATGATTGATTTATATTGTACGGGACCTCGGCGTTGTTAAGACCAAAATGTAAATAGTAAATCATTCCAAATCCAGGTTATATTTCCAAATATGTAAACATTTAATAAAGTTTTATTTGAACTGCAAGTACAAACCCAACTTTTTCCCTGTGCTGTTTATTCAAATTTCCATGAGTTTGATTGTAATATTTTCCCAAGTTCCCATTTGAGTATTCAGCATTCCAATGCGAGTTTACATAATCTAGGAGCGCATCAAGTACTTTATATGCGATTTTTAAATGTAAACAGTCCTGACTATCCCTTTCTTGCCCAAACTGGTGCTTCTCTCAAGAGGTCTAACAAAGTTGATTCATCGGAATACGGTGCAAGTAAACACTTGTTAGTGGATATTATTGAAGACAATGGGTGTACCTCATAAATTATGATTTGCAAACAAAGGTTAAAATACAGAGTGTTTAATACAGAAATATGAGGAATATGAGGGTACTTTATGAAGTAGGAACCTATACATACAATTCTAATTCAGTTGTTAACATCTTCGAATTATTTTGTTACTGGATCTCCTTTAGCGTGAATTTATTTTTTATTGGCCTCTTAAGCCTTGTACTTAGACATGTTCTTATATTCTTCAAGATTGGGCCTCGCTGAAAAGAAGTGAAATACCTACTTGGACTAAGGATGTATTCTTGTTCCATTTCCCATTTCTCAGACAAGTATATTTATGTGTTATTATCATTGTTTACTGTTGAATATTTGACGTGCACCCTTTGCACTCGTTGGACTTTAATGGCATACTATAATTTGTATTTCATTTTTTATGTTCTATTTGTATTTGAAGTCACGAAAATATGAAAAGTACAGACTAATATTATATCTTTAACCTACATACAGATATCGGAGAAAAAATCATTATCCAGATTTTCTCAGGAGCTCTCGGCTAAGAGCGCTCTAAGCTAAAACGTTTTAGGACCCTAGTCATAGCCAAGACGTCTTAGCGTTAAAACGTTTTACAAGCGAGTGTAAATCCATCGGTTTTAGCTAAGAGCTCTTAGCCCGTTTTATGCGTTGCGCTGAACGAAAACTTTGAAACTTCCTGATTACATGTGTGGCATGATCCTTTCTCTTGTCTCGTCCTTTTGTTACCAATATCATCCAAAAATATCGAGAAGAACTAATTCGCCCAGTGTTCTATCATAATCCTAATATATGGACAAAATCTTCCTGCCCTCTTTCATGCTTTTAACAATGCTCTCTTCAGGACATATTTTTTTGAAACCGATGCATTCTTTAGCAGAAGGTATAGAAGCGGGAAAGGAATAGCTCTATTTACTGAACCATCCTTCAACCAGTGTTGAACTGCTTTTTTCATTTTATATGTATGCCTACCTACATGTATCTCTAAGATGTTTTAGAAGAACAGGTGTAAACTCAATCATATTTCGTAAGACGTCTTGAAAATGGTGGTGTAAACTCAACATGATTTTACTAAAATATTTTAGCTAAGACGTCTTGAAATGTCGCGTGTAGTGTAAATAGGGCTAATATCTCTCAGGCCTAATATAATTTTCCTAAACCGCTAAAGTTTGACTTCAGAATCTGAGGATGGGTTCATTTAAAGAAATGCGATCTGAAGTAACTTATTTAAGTAACAATATTTCCCAAATATCCGTAACAAAAATATGTTGGTCGGTTAGCAAAAAGGGCATGGCTCCTTATCTCACCTTAGGAGACTCATTCACATTTTACAAAAGATTTTTGCGATAATTGCAGAAAGAACCTCACAGTCTTCTAATAGAGTAAGTAAAGAACCTCAAAGTCTTCTCATAGAGTAAGTAAAGAACCTCAAAGTTTTCTAATAGAGTAAGTAAAGAACCTCAAAGTCTTCTAATAGAGTAAGTAAAGAACCTCAAAGTCTTCTAATAGAGTAAGTAAAGAACTTTAAAGTCTTCTAATAGAGTAAGTAAAGAACCTCAAAGTCTTCTAATAGAGTAAGTAAAGAACCTCAATGTCTTCTAATAGAGTAAGTAAAGAACCTCAAAGTCTTTTAAATGAGTAAGTAAAGAACCTCAAAGTCTTCTAATAGAGTAAGTAAAGAATCTCAAAGTCTTCTAATAGAGTAAGTAAAGAACCTCAAAGTCTTCTAATAGAGTAAGTAAAGAACCTCAAAGTCTTCTAATAGAGTAAGTAAGGAACCTCAGTCTTCTGATTAAGTAGGTAAAGAACCTCAAAGTTAAGTAAAAAAATCAACATTCGCATCATATTTCGAATCCTTGGATAATTCAACATTTTTGAATTTGACATTTTTATATTTCAAATTCATTAATCCAACTGGAGTGTGGCAACTTAGTACCTTAGTACTGCGTTTTGGGAACACCTCACTCTTCTTTTCCTTTCTTTCCCACTCCAGAACACAATAGATCTCCCCACATTTCTTTATTCTTTCTGAGAGGAGGAAGCTATTATGGACACCAATGTTTAGACAAGCCATGAGAAATAAATCCGTGGTTTTGAGAATGGATGGTGTAAATTCTGCGTCGTCAGTGTCATCGGGTCATTGTGAGATCATTAGACCCAGTCAGGTGTCCCATATTTAGTGTCTTATCCAGTTGATTCATCACATCATTCGTCTCGATGAATTTGTCTCTTAAGTTTTTATGTACACATATAGCAATCATAGTCTTGTCCCCATGAAATCTATATGTTTTGTGTACTGCCTTTCGTACTACATACTTTCAAATATTCCTTTAATATATTGTTATTATTAATATTCTTATAATTATTGCATTAGTCATGATAAAAGATCAACATAATACTTACGGTGGTTTTAAAGCCATTTCAAAACAATGAATTTTTATATACAAATGAACAGTAAATAATAGTGTTTAGACTTTGTTATCTTATTGCCCTAAATGTTTTGAGATAAGATTTTTTTGGTTACCTCATTGTAGTGCATTGTATTCAGGTGATTGTTTGCTACCCGTACAGTAATTAATAATTAGGTGATTGTAGGAGATGTGCATTTAGGCCATCGTAGGCTACTCTTAATGAGATGATTGTAGGCTACATGGATTTTGGTGATTGTAGGCTACACGCATTTAGGCGATTGTAGGCTACTCGTAATTAGATAATTGTAGGCTGTGCGTATTGTAGGCTGTGCATATTTAGGTGATTGTATGCTACACGTATGTGATTGTAGGCTACTCGCAATTAGATGGTTGTAGGACACATGTATTTAAGTGATCCCATTATATAACTCTTATGTACTATATAGAAATAGGGATTAATACCGACCATGGACAGGGAGTTTTGTCCGATGGAATGTCATAGGGTATTGATGTAAAAGGAGCAAGCAAGGTAATTGTCTCCTGGAATAAGCTCGATCACGAGAGCTGATTCTGCCTTTATAACAAGTGATGACATTTTCTTTTTTATCATTTCCCTCGAGTGTTTAATTATTTTCCGATTTCCTTCATTGGACAATATTCTACAAGATGGTTGACCGCATTTTCCAAAGGATACAGCATTTAGATACATTTTGTAACAATACGTCTTAAATTATGTCGTTTTCTGTTCCGGTATGTATAATATTTGTTGAAAACATTATTAAGAAGAGCAAAATTACACGCTTGGAAATTGAGATTTAATCGGCCAAATGTGATACTGGGAAAAATTCAAAAGTATGTCATTCAAAAGTATGTTCTCCCATTAAAATCATCAGCATAGCATTTAAGAAAAGGATTAATGTCTTTAATGTTATGTTTAGCGCTATAGTTAATACTTGGTTTAATTCAGCACGACCAAACGACCATTGTATATACGAGCTATTGTAACTACCATTGTGTGTACTAACTATTGTAAATACCATTGTATGTACTAACTATTGTAGCTACCATTGTATGTACTAACTGTACTAGTGTAACTACCATTGTATGTACTTATTATTGTAACTGCCATTGTATGTACTAACTATTGTAACTACCATTGTGTGTACTAACTATTGTAACTACCATTGTGTGTACTAGCTATTGTGACTACCATTGTATGTACGAACTATTGCAACTACCATTGTATGTACGAACTATTGTAACTACCATTGTATGTACTAACTATTGTAACTACCATTGTATGTACTAACTATTGTAACTACCATTGTATGTACTTACGTTGATTTCTTCCGTATCCTTGGTCCAGTTGAATACATCCTAAATCTAATATCGCGGAAGAAAATTTCAATTAAAAGTGTGTAATTTACTATGAAGTGCTTCTCTCTTGAATTTGTAGAATTGCGTATTATTTACATTAAAGTCTAGTGTACACCCCCCCCCCCCCCCCCCCCCATAAAAAAATAAAAATGTTTGACAAACCTCGATTCTCATCTGATAGACTGTTTAGACCCCATTGTGCTTTGCAATTATTGTCTTTAATTACATTTGGATAGAGTCGGAGTTTTATGAAAAAAGGAGAATTTTTAAAACGCCAAACATAGACAGGCCTTAACGTCGTCCAGTGGGGTAATTTGTATTGCCAAATGTTTTAGGGCAGTGTAAGTGATATTGAGATTATTTTATTGGTTACAGTTTTATCGGTTTTAATCATTAATTAATGCAAGACTCAGAGATATAACAATCCTGAATGTGATTTACAACATTGTGTAATCTAAGAAATTTTAAAGGCCATCTACAAAATGATGACCTGGAATGATATTTGGTTATGGACGACCTTTAAAGAAAATCCACCCAAAAATATGATATATGATTTTACTATGCCATTTTGAATCCCAGAATCATGTTTTATTAATACGTCGCCCTAAGGCAGCAAGGAAAAATCTCTTTTATTCTGAACATTTCATTTTGAGCTTATTTTCATCATATAGAAGTGATTGAGGCTTTAAGAGTCGAAAATGTCGACACATTGGAGACATGGCAACTTTAATAAAGTGAAGTGGTCATCTTATCTGTAGATCCTCATGTTTTGAGTGGACAATAAAGCCTTGCAGGAAATATCAGAAAATATCTACACTATTTAAGAAAATGTCTTGGAATTCCATAATTAATATTTTCAAAATATATTCCTCAGAGAACACCAGATGCATAAGATATTTTAGAACATATTTGTCATTTCACAAAGTTGGAGTCGGCGTGAATATAGTTGTCTACTTTTACTTTTAGACTTTTATCATCTTATTGTATCTATCTACTTCAGGTACAGTCAATGAGTACTTCATAGCAACTAAGATACGATTGTTGTTGATAGCAACCGAGTATATTTCAGATAGAACCAAAGAAATAGGGAGACTTTGGATATGCTTATTTCACAACCCTGATTCTCATCAGTTAGTCACACTGCCCTCTAATATTTACATTTGATTTTTTCAGGGTTACTCCTGGTAAGATCAAAAAGATCTGAATTTTACCTTTTGTACATATGTAATTAACATGTATTTTTGTTTGTCTCTAACAATCAGAAACGCGGGGTATAATCTACAGGATCAAAAGTGATCCAATTGGAAGATTTTTCGAAATGGAGGCCCTGCCTTGAACTTGTAATTAAGGAAAAGAAGGGTCATATCAAAAAATTTACTTATTGACATTCTTCAAAAATTCCATGTAACATTTTTGGACCACGTACAGTTTCAAAGTGAGTTATTTGTCAACTACTACAAGTAGTCTATTATTCAGACGTTTGAGGAAAATGTGAAAAAGACCGAACACATTGTGTAAAAGACCGACCATATTTTTAGCCTTAAAGGGTTTATTTTAAAGGGGGTTCGGTTTATTCCAATTTATTCAAATCATCTCCATGAAGATAAAAACAATGAGAAAAGTTTACAATCTGTAAATATTGAGAGCTTGGGGGGATGACTTATCCAAAGGATGCATGAACAAATATAAGATATCAATTTTCCATTAAACACAAACAGAAGATCATGAAACTTCACCAATAAAAGGTAAAATTGATCATCAAAATAAAAATTTCCCTTTTACAAATGCATGGCGATCTATACGACAATACTGCTACACTGACCTCAACCTTCACACAATTGAGTTTTCTTTAAAGCTACGTTCACACCAATGGCGCTTTGATGGCGCTTTAAAGCGGCTTGTAAAGCGGCACCAGAGCGCAACAAAGCTTGATTAAAGCGTCAGGGTCGTAATGGGTCGTAGAAAGGCTCGGAGTAAAGCGGGATAATCGGCAAGAGCGCCAAAAAAATTTAAACCGTTTAAAAATTTTGGCCGCTCTGTTACGAATTGATAAAAGCGCCGAGAGCGTATCAAAGCTTAACAAACCGTAACAAAGCTCAGCAAAGCTTGACCCAAAGCGTAGGAAAGCTTTACAGAGCTTGGTTCAAAGCGGGGACCCCAGTCTCTTCACTGTCTGTTACCACTTGACACGCTTCGTTAAGATGTCTCAAGATTTGCTACGATCTGGCATGAAGATCTGACACGAGGTCAGACGCTTTCATCAATATCTGACACTCTTTGTTACACTTTCATGAAGGACTCTCAAGCTTTCCAACGAATTGAGACGCTTTTATCACAAGGATTGAAACGCTTTGCTAGGCTTTGTTACGCTTGACAAGTTTCCACACGCTATATCACGCCGTGCGACAAACATCATGTCTTCTTCAGATAGGTCATGCTCTGGTCCATCTGGAATTTCTGGATCTTGTTGTTCTGCCATCGTGTTCTCGAGTCAAAGATGCAATGGTTTTATGGATCTACTGCATCTTTATATAGTCATTGGATCAAAAGCGGCATGAAATCGGCGATCTCGACATTTTCCAATGCGTGACAGAGCTTAACAGAACGTAACAATGCACAACAGAGCTTGGCAATCGTATCAGAGCCTGATTTAAAGCGTCATTATCGCATCAAAGCGTAATAATGCTTATCAAGGCTTATCAAAACGTGATTTCAAGTGTAACAAAGCCTGGTCAAAGCGGAATCAAAGCGTGAGGAACCTATCAGAGCTATGTTAAGCTTTCTTACACTTTGGATCAAGCTTTTCTGAGCTTTGTTACGGTTTGTTAAGCTTTGATACGCTCTCGGCGCTTTAGTCAATTCGTAACAGAGCGCCCAAAATTTTTAAACAGTTAAAAAAATTTTGGCGCTCTTGCCGAATATCCCGCTTTACTCCGAGCTTTTCTACGACCTATTACGACCCCGACGCTTTAATCAAGCTTTGTTACGCTTTGGTGCCGCTTTACAAGCCGCTTTAAAGCGCCATCAAAGCGCTTTGCTCGCCGATTTAAAGCGTGCTATTCGCCGTTGGTGTGAACGTAGCTTAAGAAATATAGACCCAAGAGCAGGTGTTATATCGACGAATACATCCCTCTGGACTAAGCACACACATTTACTGTTGCTTCTGTAGGTTCGAAAGCTTTTGTGCCTAGCCCTGGGGTGTGTATTCGTCGATATTACACCTGCACTGAAGGCTATTACGATTCGAACATGAAAACTCACCAAGATTTTTCGAATATTCATTTAATTTATTCATGTAATTCGAAGTAGTTTTGAATACACGCCAATCGTGGGAAACGTTTTTTACCCATTTTGTTCTTTTCGATTTTAGTTAAAATGGTTAAAACGAAAGGCAAGCAAACATTTCCTGGCCTGCAAACTTATCATTTTTACAAGGATATATACTAATTTTTTACTGAAATTTAAGGTATGCTAATGAAATTACGTATTTCTGATAAAAATGATGCAAATGCTATGTGCGTTCTCTGTTCTGGATCAAGAGTGACTAGCCATTCAATCACAACATTGGAGAGTTATTTTATCATATTGAATGTAGTTTTTACCAGATTGACGTTTAACAGCTGAGAAATCAAATATTACGTATTAATCTTTAAAAAAATGACGACGTGATTTTAGATTGGTCTTATAACAACCGAGACAAAATAAGTTAAAACAACAACAAGCAATAACAAAATGTATGCTATTAATTGAACATATGCAAACCACATAAAATGGACTTCCATTAGGAAACCTGCAAAGAATGGCATCGTTGTAAAACCAAGATTGAAACCAACTACTACGATTCCCGTTACCACCCCAGTCACTGGCATCACGTATGTTTGGTACCAATGTAAACCTTAGGAAACCTGCAAAGAATGGCATCGTTGTAAAACCAAGATTGAAACCAACTACTACGATTCCCGTTACCACCCCAGTCACTGGCATCACGTATGTTTGGTACCAATGTAAACCCAACCCATATAAATTTCCAAGGCCTAAACCTGCCGTCAACAAAGTCACCCATATGACAATGTAATGTTTTTGAACAAAAAAACCATCACACAATAAGAACATGCTAAAAGTGTAAGATCTATCACAATCACCTGATTGACACTCAGTATTTTAGATGCCAAAATTACAATGGAAGGTAACTTGGAAAATATTTGAGCACCCCAGTATGCTGCAATGATAGCAGTTCCGTGTGATTTCGGCCAGTTTAACCCCTCGACGGCAAACGTCATAACAAGTCCACCTCCCGTCATAAGAATTATTGCAAACAAGAAATACATTAACAATAACGTGGCCAAGAGTTGGAATTTGGAAAATATTTTTGCCCCAAATGAATATGATGATTGTATTATACTAGCCAGGACGGTGTATATATGTACCAACTGAGAACTAGATTTCTCAATGCTCTAAACGTCCTGCACTAAACAACTATATTTTGTTATATTTTTGTATGTTGTTCCTTTATAACCTTTTATAACGTTTTATGTTAAACTATATGTATATGATCAGAATTGGTCGCAATAAAGAAATATATATATATGAAACTTCACCAATAGAAGGTAAAATTGATCATCAAAATAAAAATTTCCCTTTTACAAATGCATGGCGATCTATACGACAATACTGCTACACTGACCTCAACCTTCACACGATTGAGTTTTCTTTAATAAGAAATATAGACCCAAGAGCAGGTGTTATATCGACGAATACATCCTTCTGGACTAGGCACAAACGTTTACCGTAGCTTCTGTAGGTTCGAAAGCTTTTGTGCCTAGCCCTGGGGGTGTATTCGTCGATATTACACCTGCACTGAAGGCTATTACGATTCGAACATGAAAACTCACCAAGATTTTTCGAATATTCATTTAATTTATTCATGTAATTCGAAGTAGTTTTGAATACACGCCAATCGTGGGAAACGTTTTTTACCCATTTTGTTCTTTTCGATTTTAGTTTAAATGGTTAAGACGAAAGGCAAGCAAACATTTCATGGCCTGCAAATTTATGATTTTTACAAGGATATATACTAAATCTTTACTGAAATTTAAGGTATGCTAATGAAATTACGTATTTCTGATAAAAATGATGCAAATGCTATTTGCGTTCTCTTGTCTGGATCAAGAGTGACAAGCCATTCAATCACAACATTGTAGAGTTATTTTATCATATTGAATGTAGTTTTTACCAGATTGACGTTTAACAGCTGAGAAATCAAATATTACGTATTGATCTTTAAAAAAATGACGACGAGATTTTAAATTGGTCTTATAACAACTGAGACATACTTAAAAGTTTGACATTACAGACCACGACGATGTTACGTTTTTCATGTTTGTTTTTCACTGTGATTTAGAATGGTTAAACACATTTTTATCACGACCTTGCAAAGATACATAAGTCATTGGATTCCTAGTTTTTAGTTTTATTTTCCTCTTCTAATTTTGCATCTTACGCAAAAGACTGACAGCTGACCACCGACCACGTGTACCCAACTTGGGAAAGGGCCTGGTCGGTGGTCGGCAGTCGATCTTTTATGTAAACCTCAGTATCCAACAAGCATTGCCAACATGGGTTTAGAGGAATTTTTTCTCGCTCAAGTATACAGAAACGAAAAACAAATACATGTAAAGATTGGGGAGCTTCCCACTTAAAGTTACATCTGTATTTTCCAAGGCAGAGTCGTGGATCATCTTATGTCCTTTTATATATTTTCCAATCATGGATCTGATCGTCCTTTGTTATGCTTTGAAATTATTGTTACATTCTTGTTTCAATTTTCGTTTGTTATGTCTCACAAGAAAATAAGTTAAAACAACAACAAGCAATAACAAAATGTATGCTATTAATTGTACATATGCAAACCACATAAAATGGACTTCCATTAGGAAACCTGCAAAGAATGGCATCGTTGTAAAACCAAGATTGAAACCAACTACTACGATTCCCGTTACTACTCCAGTCACTGGCATTACATATGTTTGGTACCAATGTAAACCCAACCCATATAAATTTCCAAGGCCTAAACCTGCCGTCAACAAAGTTACCCATATGACAATGTAATGTTTTTGAACAAAAATAACCATCACAGCGTAAGAACATGCTAAAAGTGTAAGATCAATCACAATCACCTGATTGACACTCAGTATTTTAGATGCCAAAATTACAATGGAAGGTAACTTGGAAAATATTTGAGCACCCCAGTATGCTGCAATGATAGCAGTTCCTTGGGATTTCGGCCATTTTAACCCCTCGACGGCAAATGTCATAACAAGTCCACCTCCCGTCATAAGAAGTATTGCAAACAAGAAATACATTAACAATAACGTGGCCAAGAGTTGGAATTTGTAACATTTAGCAAAAGGGGCATAAGTTATATCATTTATAGTATTACTTGGATCGTCAATTTCTTTATAATTTGTGGTTTTGGTAGCGCTAGTGCTGTTATTAAAACAACTATTGAATGTACATGTCGTTTTTGTAAGTATGTATAATATCAAAAAACAAAGTCCGACTGCGGCACTCAGTAATCCAATTATGAGATATACAAATCCGATGTCTGATTCCTTCAAATTGGATAGCCCAGTTCCTGATAAACTAAGATCTGTCATATTTCCTTCATTCTCGAATCCATACTCTTTCGGCGTTTGTTGTCCATATGTATGACTTCTCTTCCCGAAACGTTCCGATACAGTCAGTGAGATATTAGTCATATCTGAATGGTTATTTTTTATGTTAAACTTTGATAGGCCTATCTCCGATACAAATGGTCTGGCTACCAAGGACGTCAACGTGTTTCCAACACTGTACGATAAGCTAAAAACTTGGATATATGGCCCAGAATTGGGACTCCAAATTTTTATCAATAGAGCACTGCTTACTGAAAAACAAAACACATTGTCTACATATCTGTAATTACAAGTTGGCAACCTGTTTCAGCTATCAAAGCACGTTAACCCTACTAGCACACCAAACTTACCCGTTTTACGATTTTTTCGTAGGACTGGAAAGAACGGTTGAGATCTAGTTTTGTGTGATATGGGGGGGGGGTAACAGATACGATTTGTATTAAACAACGTGCATTAGCTACCTTGATTCAATCCTAAGAGCGAAATGCTAAAGACAATTATAATTTGAATTAAACAAAGTGCATCTCAAGGATCAGAACGCAATACCAAATTACGGTCAAATATCATGACGTGAATTAAATACAGTGCATTAGTTACCTTGTTTTAATCATTAGAGCAAATACCAAAGACAAATACCATGTGTATTAAACACAAATACATTTGATACCCCGTTTCAATCATAATAGCGCAATATCAAAGGCAGATACCATGTGTATTAAACACAGTACATTTGATACCCCGTTTCATAAGAGCGCAATACAAAGGAAAAATACCATTTGGTCTCGTATTAGTACCAGCACATCAGCTAACCTGTTTCCATCATAAGAGTACATTCCAAGGATAAATGTATGGTAGCTAACCTGTTTCAATTACTCCAAATGATGTACCATTTAAGCTGAAAAACACCAGCACGGCCCAGATATTGCCAAGCCAAGGTATTGCTATTGTGAATCCTGCACCCATGCCCAAAAACAATGCAAGTTGCAAAATCGGGTCAACGTCGTATTTGCTCGCCATGAATCCTGCTATAAGACCCCCGAGTGCGTAACCTCCCGAGTAAAAGGCGAATGACAATGACATCTCAGCATTTCCGACTCCCAATTGGTCTTTTAGGTCAAGTAAGGTCGGTCCAATTACGGTTGCCACCATGCCCTGAAAACAAGTCAATATAATTTTTCGAAGAAAATGTCCAGTCAACTTTTTAAACTAATAAAATAAGTTTCATTTAACACAAAATAAGTTTCACCACAGTTCGATGTTTAAGAAAATCTAATCGTTTACGAACGCATTGTTCACGAGACGGATCAAAAACCTCACTATTGTAACCGGTGTGACAGTTTCACATGTCCACGCTAAATTATGTCCGATGGACTTACTTTCCTAGGAATACAGGTCCGTCGGGCACTAAGTCCTAGGGAAATATGTTTAGGGACAAAATATACCGTCACCTACACTTAGGATGAACTGAGTCACTATTAACTGATTTGAAACAAAAACTATGATGTAGGTTTGTTGTACGTCTTAAAAATCGAATCTGATGAATATATAAAGGATTTCATTTTTAATTTCTTGTGTATTCGCTTAAAGAAAGACTTTTATCTTTCTGATTACGTTAAACGATTCTCTTTTTTCGGAGTAAATCTACCCACAAAATTTATCGGTTGGAAAATGTTGTTTTTTTCAAATTTCTTTTGATAATTTTTCGCCTGACTCACTGAGTATTATTTAAATAAGGTAAATTATCCATGGTGTGTTCCTATTTTGGGTGAAAAATCACCAGGAAAGGATATAAATTGCAAAAATAGATAATAGAGCCCACGGTTCAGAAATTCATGATCACCCTTCGCACACGTCAATGGCAGCCATTTTTCAAAATGGCCGTCTACTTGCCAAAAGGTCAGAAGACAATGTAGTATGCTTATGAGTATTCACGTATCAAATATGAACTAAATCGCCCTTTTACTTTTTGAGTTATAGTGAAAAAGGTAAAAAAACACATGTAAGAATGGTGGCCATTTTTCAAAATGGTCGCCTACTCCCCAAAGTGTCAGTAGACAGTGTGCTATGCAAATAGCAGTCACAGTCACATTTGTCGTACGGAGGGCGTGCCTCGACCGCAGATCAATTAAATCAGTGTATTTCTGCGGCGAGTGTAGGAAAACTACGCTCGCCTTGCGGCCTCCGTACGTCGTATCCAATTTTTTACAGGCCGCAGGGTCGCCGTAGAAATTATAACTCGGAGTTAGAATATTTGTTCATTTCTGAGGTCCCCGTAGAAATCAACTGGCTCAACAAGATTGAATCATTATTTGTCAATGTTTCACGATCACTTTTCATTTGATATTACATCCTAGCACTATGAATAACATTTATAAATTGTCCTGATGTAAATAAAATGAAAATAAGTATTTTTTATCAACAGAAATTTAAAATTCACCGTGCGGCTGCCGTGGGAAATGTGACTGCAAAAGTATGAGAGCGCAGAAGTTCTACGGCGAGCGTAGAAAAGCTACTGGCCGCAGAAATGATAGACCGCACGGCGACCGTGGGAAATGTGACTGGGGTGTAAGAGTGAGCCCTCTGTAATTATTTTGTACTAATTTGTCCTTCTGTTTACCCTTAAATAGGGAGATTATCATCATGATAAACCATGACATCTCAACTCTTCTCAGCCCGGAGCATGCTTTAAGTGAAACAGAAAGATGCTATGAGCATCAGAATGGGAGATTATAGTGCCGAGTTTATGGCTCTGTGGTATTTACTTCAACTTTATCATTGTATTAAATAAATCAGTAATATCCTTTTCTAGTAAACTTCCACCGTTCTTAAAATGCTCATTAGTTAACGAATCATGTCCAGGGGCCTTACCGTTAGGGCTTTTAACAATAATAATATAAATTGCCTGACGTGTGGTTACAGGTTCAGACAAAGTTGTTTCTTCATTACAGGATGACTCTACCGCAGTGTGACCTCTAAAAGTTATTTTCGAATAAATTCACGATTTTTTAACAAAAAGTCCTCCAAAAAACACTTTTTGAAATAAAAAAGGTCTCACATATCACACTTTGATGACCTTTGGTAAGACTACAATATAAGCCAAAGTGGTTTAAACTTTATATGGGGGCTTAAAATCTCACACTACCCTACCACGTGACCACATTTAAAAATGATACAGGGTACGGTTAAGTTGCAAATGGAGCGAGTATTCTCTATCTTTGTCCATTGGGCTTTTCTGGTAATAATACGTTGCAAACTGCTCGATGAATCTATACAATGTATAGTAGAACACTTAGAATATGTGTAAAATCTAGTATACATTCAGAACTATGGAAATAAACAAACGTCCTCCATTTGCAACTTCCCTGTAGCCTGTACTTCTTTTAAAGGAATACAGGATACAGTATGGGGGTATAGTAGTGTGAATCTACCCAAATAAAAATCTACCCAACTCAAAAAACAGAACAGACAAGCTTTATACCAAATGCCTTGTCAATTTAACTTGCCCACTTAATTAATGATCCTGGTTATGCCTCTGTCACTAGCTATAAGACGAAAACAAGTTTTAAAAAAGAAACCAATCGACTATTTACCACCACAGCAACTGCTAGATATAGAAGAAATGTAATGGCTAATTTCCCTTTCTTCTCAGGTTGACTCATATGATGAACAGTTCCATCCAACTTCGTCTCATCTTTAATCGATGCATTTTCTTCATTTGCCAGGATGTCATCATTGATATGCTCGTCAATGTCATCATTCGTCAGCATAGCAAACGTACCATTATCAGGAGGGTTTTCGTTGTCTCTGGGTTTGCTCTCGAGGAGTATCTCCTCACTCTTGTCATTAGATACTTTCGATGTATCATCGGTGTGCAACATTTCATTCAAGCGAATAGAACCGTCTTTTCGTGAAGTTTGTCTCCAAGTTGCAGAGCTTTCGACTGAGTTATCTACACTTTGGTATTTTATTCCTTCCATGGCCACTGATACATGAATAATAATGATGCTTCTCTTGTGAAGGCATTCAATCAATGCATGCTTTTATTTCTCAAGGTGCTTTATCCATGTTAACATAGTAGCCGAGACAACACAAGTCCCAAGTCTGTATTTTACTCTCATTTCTTCACTTTTAAGAGTTAAGTCATCATATTTTGCATGCATATTCCTTGAAGAAATCCTAACATAGAATTTTATTGGTTTCGATTATAATTTATTTGTTAAAAATAGAGAAACATTTGATTTGTATTGGTCCATAATCAGAATTATCCATTTTGTGTAACAAATGCAACATTTTGACGTCATTAATAAAAATTGAAGTTATAAATGATAGATACAATAAGGTGTCTCTAATCTTATTGACAATAACTATCATCCTAGATATTTTTTGCCAGTCATCAGATCATGCATTGGAAGAGTACACCAATGAGAAATGCATTTATTGATTGTGGCAAGCAGTGAATTGGCAAAACAGTGGTGGAGTCACACCATTAATTTGCCGCATTTTGGTGCTTTATTTCCCCAAATTAACGCATACATTACAACCTTAAAGATGATACCAAATATGTCATCATTCATTTGATTAAAATGGTTACTGGAATAAGCCCAAAGGATATGCCACTCCCCTACCCCATCCATTTTTCAGGAAATTAAAACACGCAAAAAATCTCAAATAATGCAGGCATCTTCAGGGGTCCTTTTTGGCCCCGTTTTATTTCAAATATCATGTTTCTGCATACCATTTTTCTCGGATATGTCTCAATTACCCCAAAATAGTTACACTTCTGCTGAAAAAGGAAACATGTGGTCAATTTGGAATTATTGCACCAAAAGTAGTGATTTTTATATAAAGTTAAAATAATGCATTTGTCGCTGAAAATGGCAAATTTTGATTATAGACCAATCAGAATCAAATGTTTCTCTATTTTCAACAAATAAGTTATAATCAAAACCAATAAAATTCTATGTTAGGATTTCTGCAAGGAATATGCATGCAAAATTTGGTGACTTAACTCTTAAAAGTGAAGAAATGAGAGTAAAAATACAGACTTGGGACTTGTGTTGTCTCGGCTACTATGTTTGCTTCGAGGGGACGGACCAGGCGATTTTTGGAGGAGATAGTCGTAGTCGTTATATATATTGCCTCATTTATATGAGAAAATACATTTTTGTATAATACAATTTACAGATAAGATATGATGTTAAAGGATAAGATTAAATCATGTGATAAAAAGTCGTTGTTCTAGAAAACATAAAGGTACACTGATAAAGAAATTAAGGTTGGCCCTGTGATTTTACATTTTTTGTAATGATGATACAATTACTAACGTGTCAAATGAAATATCAGAAAGACCTAAAATTTTCTTTATACGATAGCATTAACGTCACCACGACAGTCAAGGGCTAATATCATATACTATACATACATACACAATCTACATGACATCATGCCCATTCATGTGTTCAAAGGATTGTTCCCAAACCGAATTTAATGGACTGGTCTTTATCAGAAGGCATGATTTTAACCCATTTCACACATCTGTTGCTCATGTATTATTCGCCTTACGTAATCGAAGAGGGATACACAACTGAAGTCGATTGATAATCGTGTAAGTCAAGAACTTGAAGTGTAGGACAAATATACATAAAGCAACGATGATCAAAGTATTTATTTCAGAGGAGCCCATTAAAAAGGGCCATGCGTGTTCAAGCATCGTACCATCATAATTCACATTTGAAACATTAAACCAGTTTTGCCAAATTATTAGGCTCCAGATTGAAAATCCGGAGTCTATTGCTTTTGCCCGTATTCTCTCTCTTTTTATATGTATGTATATATTTATTGCCCTTAATCACCCTATGCAGACAGAGCCTGTGGGAAATATTGGGTGCGGAGCAAATGAGCGGAGGGTGCGGAGCTAACGGTCATTTTTGAATTTAAATTTGGGATATTTCTGAAACTAAGCCGTTTTGGGACTTCAAATATACCAAGATATGTGTATTTGACACCAAATATCAATAGAATTGTGAAATTAGTAGCGCAATTCATTCTATATAGCGACGCAGTGTGCCTTAAACCTTTCCCAGACCTATATATTTTGAAATTATCCTTTTAATACTAAGTCCCCAGCATTCTTAAAAAATGGTGTTCAAGGTACACTATCTATACAAATTATTTTTGCATCTTGGAAGCCAGGCAGTATCTGTGTGATTTTATAAAAATTTCCGAATTTTTATAAAATCACACAGATACTGCCTGGCTTCCAAGATGCAAAAATAATTTGCATCACACAAGGATCAACTTTGTTCACAGCATTTTCATATTAAGTGATGTTTTGAAAAAATACGAAGGTAAACTCAATTTTATCTTTTATTTGTTGAAGAAAATATAATTATATGTTTGTCTTCTTGTTTCGACTGAAAAATCTAAATTCATCGCCCTTGCTTTGAAAGCAAGAGACTCTACACCAGTACGAAAAAGCCTTCAAAAAGTTGATCCTTGTGTGAGCCCTACAATTATTTACTTTGCCAAAAAACGTATATAATGGTTATTCGGAAATATAAAAATAACCTATATAGGTAAAATAGGAATAGTATCATTGACCTTTGATTTTGAATAGAAAAGTATTACGAGCATATAGTGCATTACTTCCAGGACAACTCTCTATATTCATAGTGATGCAGCAGATAGTGATGTTAATTCTTTTATACAACATGTTTTTAGACCTCTCAATATTTAAAGTTATACAAAGGAATTTTTGGTTGATTTTGAAAAAGTATTCAAAAAATTAAAACAAAATCCCCCCAAAAATTTATAAAAATCAAGAAAACCCTTTTATTTCATAAACAAGATCGTTTTTAAAATCAACCAAAATTTCCTTTGTACAATTACAATATTGTGAGACCTAAACATGTTGTGTTTATGTCGTTTTGTTCCAATTAGGTTCGGAAAAATGTTTCATTTCACTCTGGAAACATGATACCAAGAACAAAACAAGTGTTTGATGTGCTTTTTAAAACAGTATAGATGAAAGTATGTATATATATTTCAAATTATATTGTTACCATTCAAAAGATGGTCATTAAATTGACAATTTGTAAGATTTTCAGAAATTTTTGATGACTGGTTTAAGAGAAACGTGTGTTTAAAAAGTTCGCCATATCGATACCCATTCTTTAAAGTTTAATGGTCAAAGCAGGTTCAACATATTATGTTTAGCTAAATCAAACAACAAATAATATGACCATTTAATCCACACTAGTTTCTTCATATGCCTGGACCAAAAATATCCCGAATCTGTTTGAGTGAAATAACCAAATGTGACCAATAATATGAGTATATTTGATCATTGTCTCTTCACTTTCCAGTCAAAAATGTAAGATTTATAACTATTTTTACAAATAATTGCAGTAAAACATGCAAAATAGAATGCACATTGGTTATTGAAATGTAAAGATAGTCCATTAGGGTATGGTAATATTATTAACAATTATGGTAAAAATTGGGTATTTCTAACCATATAATGCTTTTTATTCCAAGTTCAATGACATTCTTCCCATTTTACCTTTGAAATGATTTTCATACCACCGAATAACCATTATATCAGTTTCTGGCAAAGTAAATAAGTGTAGGGCTTACACAAGGATCAACGTTTTTAAGACTGTTTATGTACTTGTATATCCCCTGCCGTTCTAATAGGAAGAGCAATGAATTGCGATTTTCAATCGAAACAATGAAATAAACACACCATGTTTATTTTGTTAAACATTTAACATATAAAATTGTGTTTAACCTTATATTTTTCAAAACATCACTAAATATGAAAAGATTGCAAATAAAGTTGACCCTTGTGTGAGCCTTATATTTATTTACTTTGCCAAAAATGAATATAATGGTAATCAAAATATTTTGAAAACATTGAATATGTGAAATAGGAATATTATCATTAACAACCATGACTTTTGAATTAAGATGGTATTTTCAGGTCAGAAATATATAATTCTTCACAATTATTGTTTTTTATAAAAATGGCCACACGCAAATTGACTATCATACTTATCTATATCAAATTTGTCTCATATATTGTATACCCATTGCTATTATTTGAACAAAATAATTTTTATCAAACTCATCTTTTTGATGGTTGCACCTTGTGGCAAGCTGTTTAGCCCATTCGTGTCACCTTTTTGAGTGCAGACAAGTAAAAATGAATAGTTGATGGACCAATCTATAATGATAATGGGTCACTTCATACTAAGCTACCACAACATAGGTTTTTGTGATTTTCTGAAGTTTTGGCACACACTACTTCTTCGACCATTAAAAGTAAAAAACGTGGTCCAACGAGTTTGCATTCGGTTCTTAATGTTACAGTTTCACTCAAAATATTATAATTAAAAAGCAGAAAAAAACGATTACGTGGGAGGAAACTTCGTTTATAATATTTTGTCCAAAATGGTGACTAAAATATTTATTGTATATCATCACCTTGGAATCTTTATTTTATGAAATAGTCTTCACGTGTGCGTATATGTCACTTCCCTCTTATTTATAATTTCTTCTGTTTTGTCTTACCAAGAAGTTAGTTAAAAAAAGCAACAATAGGATTTGTGCTGTTAGTAGGACATATGCAAAGCACATGAAATGCACTTTGTCCATGAGGAAACCTGTGAAAAGTGGAACTGTAGTGGCACTGAGGGAGGCACCCAAGGCGGTGACACCAGTTATCTCCCCAGTAAACTGTTCGGTCAATCACTATCATCTGATTGGCGCTCAGATTCGAAAGGTAGTAAATCTTACAAATCTATAACTTGGGTTTCTTATGGAAATTTTAAACCTAATTTACACTTCTAAGTGCTGAAATGGATAGGCATGCCCACACATTTTAAGAAAGGTCTAACAAAGAAGATGTTAAGTTGCCATGACAGCTCTGAAAAGTTTCAATTTTTCTCTCTACAGGCCTTGCTGCCACTTTGAAAAGATCATGCGAATGTTTGAGATAGAATTGACTGAATTGAGGCTGAATCAAACTATGAATTATGTAATCTTTCTACATTTATGTTTATTGTAATATTTTGTTATATGTAAACAAATGAGAGGTGTAGTGTTCACTGGCTGCTAATAAATACTACTTATCCTACATTCATTCAACAATTTTAACAACATCATCAGAATTACTACTTATTATATATATCAACATTTTGTTTTAGCCGTTGAGGATAATGATAATGTTTATAATCTAAGAAAATAATAGAAAATTTATTTCTAATAATATTCATGATCATACAACTTTATTGCTTTTCATATCTGGATCTGGTCATCCTATTTTTTTTTTTTTTTTTTTTTTTTTTATTAAATTAATCATTTGTACAAAGAAAACATACAATAATACAGTGTAAGTGGCTGTGCTTTTAGCATTATTAGCCACGGTCATCCTATCATCCTATGTTATGCTTAGATATTATTGTCACATTCTTGTGTCAATTTTCGTTTGTTATGTCTCACAAGAAAATAAGTTAAAATAACAACAAGCAATAATAAAATGTATGCTATTAATTGTACATATGCAAACCACATAAAATGGACTTCCATTAGGAAACCTGCAAAGAATGGCATCGTTGTAAAACCAAGATTGGAACCAACTACTACGATTCCCGTTACCACACCAGTCACTGGCATTACATATGTTTGGTACCAATGTAAACACAATCCATATAGATTTCCAAGGCCTAAACCTGCCGTCAACAAAGTCACCCATAATACAATGTAATGTTTTTGAACAAAAATAACCATCACAGTGTAAGAACATGCTAAAAGTGTAAAATCTATTATAATCATCTGATTGGCACTCAATATTTTAGATGCCAATATAACAATAGAAGGCAACTTGGAGAAAATTTGAGCACCCCAGTATGCTGTTATGATAGCCGTTCCGTGTGATTTCGGCCATTTTAACCCCTCGACGGCAAACGTCATGACAAGTCCACCTCCCGTCATTTGCATTAGTGTAAACAAAAAATACATCAACAATAACGTAGCCATGAGTTGGAGTTTGTAACATTTAGCAAAAGGAGTATAAGTTGTACCATTCATAGTATTACGAGGTTCGTCAATTTCTTTGAATCGTGTGCCTTTAATGGCAACTGCTCCATTATTAAGACAATTACTGAATGTCTTTTTTGTAAGTATATATAATATTAGAAAACAAAGTCCGATTGCAGCACTCAGTAATCCAATTATGAGATATACAAATCCGATGTCTGATTCCTTCAAATTTGACAGTCCAACTTCTGATAAACTAATATCTGTCATATTTCCTTCATTTTCGGATCTATATTCTCTCGGGGCTTGCTGTCCAAGTGTATAATTTCCCTTCTTGAATTGTTCCGAAGCAGTCAGTGAAATATCAGCTATATCTGAATAGTTGTTTTTTATGTTGAACTTTGATACCCCTGATACAAAAGGCCTGGATATCAAGGACGCCAATGTGTTTCCAATAGTGTACGATAAGGTCAAAACTTGGATATATGGCCCCGAATTGGAACTCCAAGTTTTTATCAAGAGAGCGCTGCCTACTGAAAAAACAAATCACATTGTCTACAGGTCTGAATTACAAGTTGGTAACCTGTTCCAACATTATCTAGCACACAACCGCTTGTACCAAGGACGAATACCATGTGTATCAAAACACAAAGCTCGAATACCAAGTGTATTAAAGTACAGCACATGAGCTAGCCAGTTTCAATTATTAGATCACAATATCGAGGACAAATAATGTGTGTCTTAACTCATCACATTATCTATTATCATTATTGTTTGCATTAAACACTAACATTAGATACCCTGTTTTAATCATAAGAGCGCAATATCAAGAACAATTACCACGTGTATTAAATACATTACATAAAATAACCTGTTTCAATCATAAGAGCGCAATACCAAGGACAAATACTACGTGTATCAAATACATTACATTAGATACCCTGTTTTAATCATAAGAGCGCAATATCAAGAACAATTACCACGTGTATTAAATACATTACATAAAATAACCTGTTTCAATCATAAGAGCGCAATACCAAGGACAAATACCACGTGTATTAAATACATTACATAAGATAACCTGTTTTAATCATAAGAGCGCAATACCAAGGACAAATACCACGTGTATTAAATACATTACATAAGATAACCTGTTTTAATCATAAGAGCGCAATACCAAGGACAAATACCACGTGTATTGAATACATGACATTAAATACCCTATTGTTATCATAAGAGCACAATATAAAGGACAAATGCTACGTGTATTAAATACATTACATAAGATAATTAACCTGTTTTAATCATAAGAGCGCAATACCAAGGACAAATACTACGTGTATTAAATACATTACATAAGATAACCTGTTTTAATCATAAGAGCGCAATACCAAGGACAAATACCACGTGTATTAAATACATGACATTAAATACCCTATTGTTATCATAAGAGCGCAATACCAAGGACAAATGCTACGTGTATTAAATACATTACATGAGATAATTAACCTGTTTTAATCATAAGAGCGCAATACCAAGGACAAATACTACGTGTATTAAATACATTACATAAGATAACCTGTTTTAATCATAAGAGCGCAATACCAAGGACAAATACTACGTGTATTGAATACAGTACATAAGATAACCCGTTTCAATCATACTGTAAGAGCGCAATATCAAGGACAAATACTACGTGTATTGAATACAGTACATAAGATAACCCGTTTCAATCATACCATAAGAGCGCAATATCAAGGACAAATACTACGTGTATTAAATACATTACATAAGATAACCTGTTTTAATCATAAGAGCGCAATACCAAGGACAAATACTACGTGTATCAAATACATTACATAAGATAACCTGTTTTAATCATAAGAGCGCAATACCAAGGACAAATACCACGTGTATTGAATACAGTACATAAGATAACCCGTTTCAATCATACCGTAAGAGCGCAACACCAAGGACAAATACTACGTGTATTAAATACATTACATAAGATAACCTGTTTTAATCATAAGAGCGCAATATCAAGGACAAATACCACGTGTATTAAATGCATGACATTAAATACCCCATTGTAATCATAAGAGCGTAATATCAAGGACAACTACCACGTGTATTAAATACATTACATAAGATAACCTGTTTTAATCATAAGAGCGCAATACCAAGGACAAATACCACGTGTATTAAATACATGACATTAAATACCCCATTGTAATCATAAGAGCGCAATATCAAGGACAACTACCACGTGTATTAAATACGTTACATAAGATAACCTGTTTTAATCATAAGAGCGCAATAACAAGGACAAATACCACGTGTATTGAATACAGTACATAAGATAACCTGTTTTAATCATAAGAGCGCAATACCAAGGACAAATACCACGTGTATTGAATACATTACATCAGATACCCTGTTTCAATCATAAGAGAGCAATATCAAGGACAAATACCACGTGTATTAAATACATGACATTAAATACCCCATTGTAATCATAAGAGCGCAATATCAAGGACAACTACCACGTGTATTAAATACATTACATAATATAACCTGTTTTAATCATAAGAGCGCAATACCAAGGACAAATACCACGTGTATTAAATACATGACATTAAATACCCTATTGTTATCATAAGAGCACAATATAAAGGACAATTAGCATGTGTAATAAAAAAAATACATTAGGCACAATGTTTCAATCATAACATCGCAATACAAGGGACAAATACCACGTGTATTAAATATATGACATAAGATACCCTGTTTCAACCATAAGAGTCCAATATAAAGGACAAATATCATGTGTAATCAACAAATTACAATAAGCCACAATGTTTCAATCATAAGATCGCAATACAAGGGACAAACACAACGTGTATTAAATGCATGATATAAAATGCCCTGTTTCAAGCATAAGAGCACAAACAATAACGTATTGGCTAACCTGCTTCAATTAACCCAAATGTGATGCCATTTAAGCTGAAAAACACCAGTACAAGCCAGATATTTCCAAGCCAAGGTACTGCTATAGTAAATCCTGCACCCAGGCTCAAAAACAGTGCTAGTTGCAATGTGGGGTTCATGTTGTATTTGCTCGCCATGAATCCTGCAATAAGACCCCCGAATGCGTAGGCGCCCGAGTAAAAAGCAAATGACAATGACATCTGAGCTATACTGACTCCCAACTGATCTTTTAGGTCAAGTAAGGTCGGTCCGATTACAGTTGCCATCATTCCCTGAAAACATATCAATAAATCAAGAAAGTAAATGTCACATAACACAAAATGCGCTTCAGCTCATTCCGATAGCAAAATTGAAAAAAAGGTTTTCACATCGAGTACGACTGCAATAAGAGCGAAGTTAGTGGGTAATTTTAGTGTTAGTCCCCGATCTGATTTCCAAAAGAGCTCTAGAAAAGGGGTTTTGTTGTCCAGTACTTTCCCACATACAATGATTGTACCGTTTGAAAGAACAGACTTCCCTCTTAAAGAAAACACCTCTTCTATTGATGTAAACAGGGGCAAAAGGCACCAAAACGGGGTTAGACAAGGTGGCATTCTGAAGTCTCACTTTCTTGTCATCACGATTCCAGGTAAACCATTAGACGGATTTACTTCAAATTTTCACACATGTTACATGGTAAGATGTGCTAGAGCTGATTAACTTTGCGGCGGCCATCTTGCATTCTGGCGGCCATCTTGGAATTTTTTTCAGATAAATATTGTCATCGCGATTCCACAAAAACCACACAACAGATGTACTTCAAATGTTCACACATGTAACATTGTAAAAAGTTCTAGACCTCATTATTTTTTTGGTGGCCATCTTGTATTCTGGCAGCCATCTTGGAAGTTTAAAGATAAATCTTGTCATCACGATTTCAGGAAAACCAAACGGATTTACTTCAAATTTTCACACATATTACATGGTAAGAAGTTCTAGAGCTAGTTAACCTTTCGGTGGCCATCTTGCATTCTGGCGGCCATCTTGGAAGTTTTTTTGGATAAATCTTGTCATTGTGATTCCAGGAAAACCACTTTACTGATTTTCTTGAAACTTTTACAAGGAAGGTTACATGCTACCTTTTATATTGATATAAACAGGGGCAAAAGGCAGTAAAGTGGGGTTACACAAGGTGGTATTCTAAGGAGAATGTTATCTATTTTTCTGTATTTTAAACCACATAATTTGACATAAATGCATATTTGGTGTATGATATGATGTTTTATATTGATAGAAACATGGGCAAGAGGCGCTACAATGGGGTAACTCATGGTGATATTCTAAAATACATATTTTTACTCTGCTTCTGTACTTTCTACCACTTAAATGAATTTTGTGTATGACATCGATTGATTTTTAGAATAAATAACTACATTTCATCAAAAAGAAAAAAGATTATTGAAAACATCAAACATTTCTTTAAAATCCATTATTGCACAGCGATTTTTGAGAGCGAAATGTATGCTAAATTGGCCTTGATCTGAGTATATAACGGAATTAAAGCTCTTTTAAACGAAAATGTAAATGTGGGGAAAACCTTTCACTGTGCATCATGTCAACGAAATGTTCTTCATGCAGTTGAATTATCTTCTGGACAGGTGATCACACAGAAGGAGAGACCTGCGTATCAATCCTTACTAAATATAAACAAAAATGACAAATGAGAAAGGAAAAAAGTGTAAAGCAACCTAGTGGGAAAAGCAAACTGTAAAGTGTAAAACTGGCAAACAAAAATCAAACCTGAATATCCCAAGACAATAATCTAATATGGGAATAAACAGCATCCACACCGTTCAATGACCAATTCCTCATCAACGACCACAACTCCGAGGGACATTCCATTCATACTGAAGTCATTAAAATACATGTTAAAGAAAAATAATGATATCCAATACTCATAAGATCAAAAATAGTTGTAGATACTATAGTACTCATAAAAGCTGCAGATAACGTTTCTTCATCGGGAAAGCAAGCTGTCTCTTAGTCAGATATTAACTAACGAGCTGGTTCAGAGCACCAGCATGTGAAACTATGTGAATGGGCTCTGTATCCACAATGTTGCGAGTTCGAGACACATGTGCTCTTTGTGTTTAATAATCAACAAAAATCACTTAAACCTGCACTAAAACTGTGTGTCAGATCGATATAAGTATAGGGTTTGGAAACTAATTGTACCAACAAAAAGAACTTAAAAAACACTGCTACAATATCAACATAAGCTTTCAATAGTAGTGACGATGCAGAAACATGCAAAATGTCACCACACCTTGTTAAGTATACAGTACACATTAACTACTGAACAGTGTCAAGATAAACGTTCGAAGCTATTACAATATGTCACCCAATCACTAGTGGTGGTGACATAAAAATAATGTATAGAAAAATCTACTGAACCAAAATAAACTTTGTGATAGAAGAACTGATTGTTTACTCTAAGTTTTCAACTAAATATATTTCTAATAAGCAATATGTTTTATCGAAAAGAAAAAATAATTTCATGTTATATAAA